CGTAACATGACATGACCTTCTGCGTGCTGTTGTCTGACTGCAGTTCTAGGTTTCTAGTATTTAAAAAGTCCCTAATTCCTTGAACTTCGTTGCGACCATTCAATGGTAAGTTGACTAAACAGCACGCGTCGTCGGGGCTTTTATAGAAATTGTTCCGATAGTATCACGATAGCTCGATGCCTTTATAGGGATCATTGACCCCGGATCGACTTCTATTGTTTATGGAAGCATATAAAAAACTAACGTTGCCGTTATAATATTAGCTTTTGTATTGTCATGCCGTTAAATATACCATACCTCTTTCCAACCTTTCAATTTGAATACACGGTTCAGCCATTATGAGTCGTTCGAATGCGCAGGTTACAGGTAACAGAATAATCCCATATGCAGGCTGCCCTTCATATTTAAAAGTAATAAAAATCCCTTTCAATCAAATGAACGATCGCTTCTTTCGCAAGGAAAAGTCATTATTGCACATAGATGTGCCACAATAAGTGCTTTCTAACTATGGTTTCATTAGGAACCTACCTTCATTAACCACGGTATTTTTTGAGAAGACCTCTGTGACAATACACCTGTATTTATGATAATTTATCAAGTACATGTATGTGCATTATAAGCACGGAAATCTTATATTGGCGAAAGCTACAATTCCTAGAGGTGTTAATAAACAAAGATTTTCTTCAGAAGCAAATAAAATCTACCAAATATATTTAAAAGGTTTTTTCGCTTTTGACATCAAAGAATAATTGTAGGCTAGGTCAGCGCAAGTTGGACCTAATTTGTACAATGCTAGGCACAAGAACGAAACCAACAATTGCGGTTTGCTCATAGCCCTTTAATTGTCATTATTCGGATACAAATTGACTATATATGTATTCGCACATGTTGTGTCATATGCATTGCTACAGGACATGAAGCAACGCTTAAAAGTATGTATGTAGTTTGAAGTAATTGATGCTCCAGTAAAGTTACTCCAGAGGGTCGCCTTAAGTCCCCAGTGTCGTACTGCATTCGGTTGTCGAACTTATTCAAAGTATCATGATTCTTATAAGCTCCATCGGTCAAGACAGTCGTAAAACTAGCTGCAAGTGTGCCCCTCTAGATCTCTTTACCAGCGCACTCCTGAGACACGTCCGCTCACGTCCCACACTTGTCCGGCTTCCTCCGATCTCCGGGCTCACAGTACGGTACCGTTCACCTGACGTTATTGTCATCATGGGCCGCCCTCAATATGCTGATTGATTATTATTACTCTGTCAGAGCATGAACTGTGTGTCTGCGTGAGCTACAAGCCTCAAAGTACACGACCCAGCTACTATCACGCTTAGGACGAATTCGGCTAATATTCACTTTTCTGAACTGTTCTGGATTTGACTTTAGGTACTTCGCGGCGTTCCGCCATCGCTACGACCCACCATATTACTGACACCACAGTCTTCGTTATTCTCATTGTCCTTTCAATGTTTCAATGTCCCTTCAAGGAAATGTTCGTTTTGGATGGTACGTGTATCAAAAAAGAATGCCTGTCCAATGGAGTGGTTATCCCCCCACTTTGCGGAGGTAACGTCCAGTCTCGGTGTTACTACTACACGACATGGGAAATTGGCACACAGAGAGCCGGTCGGTACGTCTTCGCGTATACACATGCATGTGTATGCTATCAAGTCAGGTCGATACAGGTACCTCTCAGGCAGTCCCGTCAGGTCGACCACACCCACGCCCGCGAGAAACCCGGATCTCGCAAATGAACAACAACACCAACATCAGCACGGCCACCAACGCCACTGACGTTGGCGTCACCGAAAAAACACGAAATTTGAAGTAAGAGGGCAATCGTCGCCAATGCATCGATTGTACTTTTGCTGTTTGTCTCCAGAGTCAGAATTTTGTTGTTGTTGTCGCTGTTACTGTCATCCTTGCTTAACGGTATAACGTTTACGTATGTCATATCGATCAAGGAAAGGGCGTAATCTAAGCAGCGACAGTTTTGGTGGGTAGACACGGGGGTGTTTATGGCCCCCGGAGTAAACGTTGGTGCTCAAGCTAATGTCGCGATGAATATGTGCCCAGAACTTTAGCCCATACTTTAGCGCGGCCCTCGTCATCAACTTAGCTACGCGAACAACTGCTTTATATCCCCCCAACAGCAACAGCCGGTGATGGTGGCTTTGGTGCACAGCCATATCATCAAGTCGATTCAGTTGGGTCTGCTCACGATATTTTTGCTCCTATCTTGTCACGGGAGACTCAATCACAATGATGCAGGCAGATACGTATGAGCGCTGAAAAAGAAAATATGTGACGACATGGAGCTGACATACCGAAAACATTACGTAATGCAACTAGCGAACGGTATATTAAGACACGGCTCCGAGAAATCAAAATCCATTTGCAGCCGCAGCCTTATTGAGTCCTATTGGGACACACTGACAACAACTGGAATTAATATTGGTTTCAATTGAAGGTAAATTAGAAAAAGGCTACCAAAGGAAAACAAAGTAGAATAGTTTTTAGGAGGTCGACGTTGCTTAAAGCAGCCATTAATAAGTTCCTTCTTTAGCTGGTAGAGTTCGTTTGAACTCTCTCTTCGTCATTTCGACAGAACCTTCTTCAGGTTCTGTTGAAATGATGAAAAGGAGAAGCAACATGCGTTACGTTCAAGTGCTATCTCAATGACAAGTTTCATCTATCCGCAACTTAATACATTAGACTGCGTAGAGCGATTATGAGGCTTTTTATCTACCTAAGTTCTCTAAGACGAAAGATAGATTTTACTTGAGCAGATACACTAGTCTATTCCCGTGCGCGCACAGACAGAGACAACAGCGCCATCGACCGAATCAGCTGCTGCTCAAGACGACAGACAGACTTCGCTGGTCAGTCGAGCGACTTTGAACAACAAACAGTTCAGTTTAGGCCAGCCCCACCGGCATCAACCTCAATAATGAAGAAACCACAGGAGACCCACAGCGCTGCCTTTAAGACGCAACAGCAAGCGGTTGTTACAGAGTGTTACAGACGAGCGACCGAGTGGCGATTGATGGTGACGATGACGATGCTGTCGATAATGGAGAAGATGAGGTGTGCCGCGACCCACGAGATGCGCGAAACATGCTGAGCTAGTGGATGTTTGGGCATGTATGTCGAAATCGAGCCCACAAAGTAGGCTATAGGCCTTATAGCCGGTGTGTTTTAGACGGCTTCGTGACCGGCGAACCCCCCGCCCGCCCGTCCAAGGTCGCCAGTTGTCAGGTGTATCCGGCTGATGGCTTTTTCAGGATCTCCTTTGGGATTCTTGTTGAGCTGGATCAGGTGCATGAGCTGTGGCGCACGCCGAATGAACCAAATGTTCGAACTAAATAGCGGGGTAGAGTAGGTGCTTAAAAAAGAACGTTTAGCATACGGTAACTGGCTTTGTTATGCGAATGTCCTACGCCACGTAAAAGAAGCAGCTTTAAGGGGATAAGCAGATACCGAGAGTCTCCGGAATACAGTCATAGTTATTTAAGATCATAACAAAAATATTTTTTACGGAGCGCCATTCGTTTAAAAGGGATGTAGCGTTTTCTTTATGTTTAGTTGTTATACAAGCATAGCGAGTATTTAAATGTATATTATGAAATGTCGGCTTATGCAATCAGATTCCCGAGTTTATTGAGATACTGCATAAGTTGAAGGAAACCCAGTTTGAACGAGAGATAGATTAGCATAATTTTTATTGTCACCTCTTAAAGTGATCAACACAGCACGGCCCTCAAACTCAAAAGTCAAACAGACATTTCATATTAAGAACGGTTCTATGAAAGTTTCCCAAAGGCATCTACCATGCTTTAATTCAGTGTAAAAGGTACTCCTACAAGGCCGTGGGATCCGTTTCTCGGCAGAACTAAGCTGAAATAACCAATAAAAACGTACTCCCTTTGGGTCATCGGCCATAAACAACCCTACCCCAGTGCATTATATGACATATAGAAGTAGACAACATGTATTTCGATTCTGAGCTAATTTGATCGATACTCCCCTTCTTATAAAGTCGACCCGGTTCCAGTATGATACGCTAATCCGATGATTAAAACTAGTAAAAAGTATGAAACAAAATTTACACTTCAATTCATTAATAACCATTTATTATTATTTGTATTTATTATTTGACATTGTTGATACCCATTCATTTTAATACTGACTTTTCTTCATTTTACCGTAAGGGAGCCCTTTTACGGCAAGTACTTATTATTAATCTACCGCTTTTACTAGTCGCTATTTTTCAACTTTCCTCAAGTCTGTTTTACTCACCTTCAAGACAGCTTTCCTCCCATTCACTCTTTACATATAAAAGATACATAAAAAAAAAATACTAATCACAGCCTCACACAGGAAAAGTAATCAACCATGACCAACAGTTCCGATTCACTCGCGTGTGGCAAGACGACCCAATATATGACCCATTTCCTGCCCAACTACTCAGTAAGACTTCGTGCATTTTTCAGGACATCGTCAGGACAGCAGCCTGCAAACTTAGCCCTTTGTCTACGGTCCGATTCGCTTAAATCTGAGTACAATCATCGAAACTGCATTGGCGAATATATGCAAAATATAGTACAGTCTACATCCTTAAAAAGGCCCTATGCTACATTCATATCTTCTTCTATTATATATTTTGTTAGCACTCGGGTGTTTCAGCTGTCCTTGTCTACGATATCTACGACTAATTGCTCATACGTTTAAATATACTGTTATTTTCAATAATAACTGTTCAAACTCAATATCTTCTGCGTTTTTTAGATTTTCACTTCGTGTTTTTTTTCTTTAATATTTGTCCGTTGCATAGACTCAACTAAAACAACCGGTCGTCATAGCGTTAATGCCTTCAAACAATTGAATTTGTGTCAACAATAATAAAACGATGTTTTTCCTTTTATATATATATATATATATATATATATATATATATATATATATATAACCATTCGGGAAAAATGATAAAGCGTAGACTTCGATTGAATGTCGGGCTCTTTACCATTGTTTTAAGCTGCTAATGCGTGTCTATCTACGGAACTGGTAAAGATCAATTGTTTCAGTACAGCCGAATATAAATATCATATACTCGTAAAGGACCCGAGATGGCTGCCACATGGGTGAAACCATTAGATGGAATCGAGACCACTTAACGTTTTGGGCAAACGTTGTCGATGAAATAAGATTCAAATTGGTGATGCAATGCTTCCCATGGAAGTCGGATATCGTCTGCTAACGATTGATTTATCTATGATGATCTAGTTTTTTTGCTTGTCAATAAAACGTTGCTTAAACTTAGTCCGTTTTTCAAGCTGAGCGAGAATAACACAACCTATAAAGAACGAATCTCTGGCCCTGCCAAAAGCAATATCACAATAGGAGGTCGCCATTCTAAAATTGTATTTATAACAGGCAGTTAGCGGTTATCAACCGCCAAACGGCTTGACCATTTTAATAAGTCCACTGAAATTGGGCCATTCAGCTTAATTGAAACATAATTCAAACACAGGTTTTCGTTCTCTGACCTTCTTGGCCGTACTTTTTCCATTTTGATATATTTTTTTATACATTAAATACATTTATATTAGATGTACAGGCAGAAATTTAGCCTATCTTAAAAAGTAACATTTAGGGTTCCAACAGAAAGATTTCGATCTATTCACTATCGTTCTCGTACGAATCTGAGCAAAGTTGGTGACTGTTTAGGCTTGAAACTCCAATCAGTGAAAAAAACTGTGTTAGATTACTAGAAATAGTGCCGATTTCTAGGAGAATTGCAGTCACAGCATTTAAAAACTAATTTCCCTGTACACCCGATACATATACACAATGCTAGAAAATACTGTATTAAGTAATCATCACTGCCGAGTAGCCAGACCACCTTCGGAGCTCGTTACTGGCTGGACGCCCGTCCAGAACCCGGCAAGGACGAATTGCACAATGGGCTAATAGAATTTCTATCGTTAATAGCCAGGTTTGCCCTGGTGCCAAGTTGGTCGATTGAGCGACCCATTTGGTTTGTGATCCCAAAGGCTTGTATTTGGTAGTGTACACTTTTCTTAGACACCTGGGTAGTAACGCTAGGCCAAACGACGCTGGGCTCGACTGCGGTCGTTGCTATAGAGCACATCTTGTGACACAAACTACCCGCCGCGTTTGCGTCTCGTGATGCGGCACTATAGTCATATGTAAATGCGTAAGAAGTAGGTCTAGTATGGAGACTATAAGGATGTGACCCCCAAATTCGTGCTATGTGAATTCAGGACTCCAGGCGCTCCTCGGGGACTTTTCGGCTGATGTCGCTTCATGTGAAGTGCAAGATGATCGGAGCGCGCAAATGATCTTCCGCACACCTGACATCGGAACGGCTTTGCGCCTGTATGCTTCCGGTAATGACGGGTCAGCTCATCCGACCGGGCAAATCGCCACTGGCAATCGTTCCAATGACATCGATAAGGCTTTTCTCCTAAAAGAAGCGCGAAAGAAAAAAATAACAAGGAAACATAGTTATTTGTGTCATCTTCAACATCTAATACTCGAACATGCACGCCTAGTTATCAGCTTTGTTTTTCCTGAACGTCCATGTTACCTCGTTTTATAGTTTCTATCGTCAGCTAGCCACATTAGCTAATTATAACACTAACCAGTATGTATTCGTTGATGGGCTTTGAGGTGCGAACTTTTCGTGTACACTTTGTCGCATCCGGGGAAATCGCAATGATGGATTCGTCTTTTCTCGAGATCTGGGTTGTTACGTCGATTATACGTCCGTGGCGTGATGGTGGTTTGTGGCAGAGCCGTTGTGGGCACGCGCGCCGAGGGACTAATCTGAGGTGGAACAGCGGGTGGCGACAACGAAGCAGGACAGCTCACAGGAGGCCAACAGCTAATCGGATACGAGGATTCAGTTTCCAACTTTGGTACTGAAAAGAAAAGCGATGTAAGAACAAACAATACACGTAAATATAATGAAAGAGCGCCATGAACTTTTGTGTAAACACGGAACTACCAGGCATTTAGATCAGTCGATCAAAAAGAGATGTAACACTGAGAGGTTTAGCCTACTTACCTAGAGTGGACTGTTCAGTAGCACTCCAGAACGTATTGTTTGGTACGTGAGCGTGCGGGAACGATGCCTGCTCGGCCTGCTCGACTGAAGCATGTTGTTGCTGCTGATGATGTAACTGGGCCGGAATGTAGTAACTTGGCTCGTGCTGAAGAAAGAAGTCATCGATTTGTGGGGCGTACCGCTTGTTGCTTTCAGGCACTGTGCTTGACGGATAAGATACCCGAGCGGGTTTTGACCCGTCCCCGCTTGGGTAAGACCCTAAGCGTGCCGAGGATTTGTCCTGTGGTACGGTCGGTCCGTAACCCCGCAGTTTATTGTAATCTGGTGAAGGACAAGGTGGTTCTAGAGTCGGCAACATCGAGCTCGGCGGCGAAAGCGAAAGACTCTGTGCTGCCGGGGAACTCGACGGCCAAAAGGGAGACTGACCCCCTTGTGCTTGATAGACAGGTCCAACAGGATACGTTGCATGATTTAGCATGTTGCCGCTGCTGTCCGTCAATTTCAGCTGTAATAACAACGCCGAATCATAATTTTTGTAATTTGTAAGCAATCCTTAGTATTGGCATCTTTGTTAATTACTTGTGGTGCGCCCGTAATGCTAGTTTTTTTAGACGTCCTAATGCGACTTCAATACAAAGCTTACGTCTGAGGATAATACTAGAAAGTCTTGTATGAGCTACATTTACGTGGCTTTTGTTAGGAACTACCAAACGAATGCTAAAAGAGGCAGCAGTATTTGAGGATATCGAAGCAAACTCACCGAGTTGTGGTTGACTGAATTAGCGTCGCTGGCTGGATGATGAGCAGATGGGGTCCATGGCCCCCTTAAAGGAGAAGGTTGTGGCGGCGTTGTATGACCAGAATGTGAATGTATATAAACCCACCGCTCCGAAAGACTCTGCAAAAGACAGAGAATATAGATTTATTAGCACAGTTCATCTTAGGACAACTATACAGGTAAGTAACAGATCCCAAATACACGCCAATTCGATTGACACAACTTCATTACATACGTTAAGAGCCGAACTGACTTAGTGTTTCTAGTAGGAGATAGGTGCCAACCAGTAGTCCTAAGCTTACATAGGTTGAAGGACTTCGTATGTTGGATGATCTGCGATTTTCACTATAGAGTTAGAACGTTGTGTATCAGGAGCGTTTTCAGGGGCCTCACAATTGTTGGCCCTTGTGATTTTTTAGACACTGCTATGGGATGTGCCATAAGCTTCGTGCTCGATCCTATGGTTGACATGCATCTAATACGTGCGTTGCTTTGACTGGTTTTGGTACCTTTTTGTATTACTTTATTAGGTATAATATTAGGTTTCTTCTCCTACACAAGCCTTTCTATAGTGCTAATTGAATCACTTGTGCACATGTTCTCTGTTAACGTTAAAATAAACATTAGAGCAATAAAGAGCATGTACATGCAACACTTCTAACACGATCTTTCATGGAGCCAGACCATACATAGCTCGCAATAAAACGTGGGCTCCGAATGACCAATCCAAAGGCATCCTAACAGTTATATGTATGTATATATAATCTTCGTACCCTAAGTGGCAAGCACATTATCTCATCGTTCGCCCCTCAAATTAGACATAATGGCTCTTACTATTTATGAATAATGAAATGAAAGCATATATAGGGTAAGCGAAGCCAAAATGAACGAAAGCGACCCGTCCAAATCAACAGAAACATAAAAAATCGTTTATACACCAAATCGGCAGAAGAAGAAAAAATTGAGTAGCCAAAAATGCGACGTTCGTCTCATACGAGTATCCTTATTACGACCAGCGTAATAATTATAGTAACAGTATTAGTAATATGTACTTAATAAAAACAGAGCTACACCAATAAAAAATTGTACTACCAACTGTTCGAACCACTGTGCAAAAGTGTAATCGGGAATAAAGAAGATATATATAATACATTTCATTATGGGATCTGCTAACTACCAGAGATTGCGCACATCGTATGCTGGGCAGCTAGAGCCTCGTATTCAGCATACTTATATCGAAATCAGAGACAGAGAACAAAAAAAAAACACGATTTTGGGAAGGAACAAAATCCCGTCAGGAATAACGTACATATAATACTTTTTAATGTGCAGATTTAATTTATCACATAATATATAATCAGTAACGATGTAACATAACGATAGGTATATGTAAGTCCACCCGGCACACATGCACTTATTTGTGAGAAAAGGCGATAAATGTCTGTAGATCGGTGCAGGCTTTCAAAGCAAACTGAAGTTTGTCCGTTCCAGTGCTAAAAAGAGAGAACAACTCAAATAGATTTATATGAAGGAAACTGGGAAGACTTGCAAAGATTTATAAACTCAACCGCCGCAGCAGAATTGTAATCTGTAAAAGCCACAGTCTACGGCAATTGGATGATTTTCTGTCGATGTTTATCGTCTCGAAAAATATTCGGTTCGAAACAGAACAAGTTCAGTCATAAAAACCTTAGATGATCAGAGCGGAAGCGCTTACGAGCACGTTCCGTGAACGTATTCGCTTGTTACCTTAACGTTTTAGGGCACGGCTTGGCAGTGTGACCAAGATCGCATTGCTCAACGTAGAGACGAATCTGTCCGCAAGAGTAAGTAGGAAGTCCTGTACTCTTGAAATAGACCGGTTGGGTTTTTTGTCCTTACTGTCGGTGGCAAGCATTACGCACCACTCAGGGTGACCCATCGGGTGTGACGCCATTTTTCTCCTTTCTATAAAGGAGTTCGGAAACAGCAGCCATTCGGTTTCAGGAATTAATAATTCCAACGTGAAGGCAACAGTAACTAGAGAGGTAACCTAATTTACCTGGTTATTAATGGTTGCTTATAGAATAGGCTCATTATTGGGAGTAGATATACAATATTGGAGTGATGTTTTCTTAATCCTCCGTGAGCTATTCGTGCTGAAACAGAACCGATGTCTTGTAAGAATGACCTCTGACTAGTAATGCGTAAACAATTATCACGCGGTCCTAATCGTCAATTGCGTGCTAAGTACGTTTCGTTGAAACTGTAGTTTATCAGCGATTGGCCTAGCGCCTTCCGTAGATGAGTTTCGTCAGAATTTGCGACGGTAAACTTTGCTAACAGCTGCAAGGCGAGCTATACCAATTAATCTTTTATATAATAAAAGCCAGCTGTCTAACGTACACGCTACATTAGCAAGTTTAATGGTGTCCCATCAATTTTCTTCGTTGTTTTGATAAGATCGATTCCTAGCGATGCTTAAATTCGGGTTTCTAGTGAATAGAGAAAGTGTATCATTCCGCCATCTTGCCGCTTGCTTAGGTAGCTACTCACGGATAGTATTAAACATAACGACACACCTAATAAAATGACGTACATCACATGACTCGTGCGATAGGTAAGCGCTTGCAGCTTAGGTATATCTATCATTTTCGCCTAAACAAAATAGGATAAGCCTTAAATGATAAACCACAATCTACTGCGAACTTTCTGCCCGCTAGTGCAACAAGCAATCAAGCATCGAAGTTTGATAAATAACTCAGAATGTGCTTCCAGCGTGCGTTGCCGCATCTGCGCACACACACGTACTTATGTTACGAGACATCTAAAATTGACAAGGTCAATATACCACTCGCACGCACTCGTCGAGGGCACGTAGGACGTCGATGACCTTAATGGTAATAGTTTGCCTTCTTTCGACGTTGGTAAAGGTACTAAAGTGGTATCTCTGCGGATGTCGACACTATCAACAGAGATCATCAAATGCTTCCGCACCCAATGGGAATCGATGAAAGTTGTAGGCACTATCGTAATAGCAGTACTAAAGGAAATACTTTGACGAAGTGCTAACACAGAGTGGCTGGCAGCCGACATATCTTCTTTGCCGGTTTTTGGGCTTGCCTGAGAAGCGTGGGAAAATTATAATAAATACGGTACATCTAACTGCAGACAGCGATGTCAGCTACGTGACGACGCTTTCCTCCAACAGATAATGTCGTTGCTGGCAAAATGGATTATGGAAGTCAAAGAAATGGTGGCCGAAGACTACTCGAGAAAGAAAAACAAACGACACAAATGATGACGTTTGATCAAAGTTGACAAGAATGGTAAGCAAATGTTATGAACGGCCAGATATCGATCTGCACTATTGGAAAATGCCGATGCACGTGTCGCAAAAACGAGCTGAATGAGAGAGGAACAGAGGTCGCCTGTAAACCGATAAAACCCCCAGTAAAAGCAGTGATTTCGTTTAAACGTTTAATGAATTTTTACCATTAAGATCGTGATTTTAATTCTAAATTTACACATGCTCCCGATAGGTAGGCGCAAGAGCATGTAGTCGACGCTGAAAGGTGTGCACAACAGACACGGCGACTCAGACGCACCGATTCCTGTCAAGAACAAAGCGGCACGTCCGCTGATGGTAGCTCACTCGTCAGTGGAGCACATGCACAGTCATTGTGTCTTTCCAATCGTCCCAAGATTCTGCTTTGACCTGAATTGTAGAATGTGGATCTAGTGAGTAAGCGTATCCAGCTGAAATATAAAATATATAGAAAGAAAAACAGGCTTTTCTAGTTCTAACCTTGTTATGCCACACACCGCCGCGCTTTGCACCAGAGGTTGGAGATGCGAAATCAAAGCCATTTTTAAGATATTTAACTTCGTTCGGTTCACTATCAGATCTATTCCATCCTATCCTTTCAATTGATTTCTAGCTTTTACAATGCGCCGGAAACGTTCAGCCAATGAATCAACGAAACGCCGTTTTTCTATGCAAAAGAAGCGCTACGATTAGCAAGGATTTACTTTGTGTCAAATAACAACAGAATGAACTTGATTTCTGCTGCACAAATGGCTAAAACCAGGTTTGCAGCCATCGGCCAATCAACCCTGGGCCTTTTGAGTCCTCTACATGCACATCAAACCTGTTCAACAAAAAAAAAGGTAACAATGTAACATGAAGTCGAATCTAACATTTCGTTCTTATGTTATCGCTGTCGCTTCGTGGGGATATCATATTCGTTGATCAGTCGAACAGACGAATAGATATATCCGTATTATCTTTGTGGCAAATTTAGAGGTTTAGGGATATCAGGCAGAGCGCGGGTACCCCCATAAAGTCGAAAATGGCGAAAATGGTGATTTGGCGCCGACCATTCGGCTGTACGCCAATCAAGCGGAATGGTGCCCGCTCGACCACTAGGAAGCAGCGAATCCAATGACAGTACGGAACTTCGTCGGCTTCCAACGCTCAGCCCATTTCGTCACGAGATGAAGAGGACGAAACGAGAGCAAAAAACATCCTTCTGGTATCCTCGGCGGGCTACGGTCCAACAATGAATATTCCTTCCTATTTTTTGCTCAAGGTAGATGTAGACACTACACCGCAGGTTCACAACAGGCAAGGTTCAGTAGGCATAACCACAACTGGCAGTCTGTTAACGCAACATTAGGCCAGGAAGATGAAACACTATAATTCTATTAACAAATTATTTTGTTTTGTCAATGAAATAACGCAGTGAGTAGAAGTACCAGAGGCACACTTCATCCTTTTGGCCCATGGAAGACACGTCAGAGTCTTCTCTCGAGCATTATCGGATTACGTTTAATTAGTGTCTGCGAATAGACTCGAGAATAAGCTGAGTAGATTTCTAAGTGTACTCAATTGTCTTTTTTAACGCTAAAAGTGTCTGAAGCCAATTTATTGGGTGTCTGACTAATGCCTTATTTTTCGATTGAAGCCATGCAGTGGCCTTTAAAATGCTGAATTTCATGTAATTGAAGTACAAATTATCAATAACAAGGCGCCTAACCAGGAATACGTTTGGACATGGCCGATGCTCCTGCAAAATATGTCATCTATCCTATACAAGGCGGTGGCTAAATGAAGGTTCTATATTACCTTAAAAGCAGTGCAATGTTCCTTTCCGCACTGAGATTGACAATAGCTTTTCGCCGCATATGTTTCTTTCGTACTATTGACAACGCTTTCTACAAATATTTTGTTGCTGATACTCCTCAATCGCCTACTTCCTTGAATTTACAGACTATTCGACTGTCGAAGCCTTCCTATGTTTGTCTGCATAGTAGCTTTATTTAAATTTGTTCTCTATTTCAGCTGGTCTCTCCTGTGTGCAAAAAGAAAGTCGATCGTGTACCCAAGAAGGCCCCGAGGTTCATCATTCATATTCCATATAAGCTAAATTGGTACGCATCCGTTCTTCAAAAAAATCGGATATAAACGAACGCCCAAACGAGTTTTCCCCTTTTGCTCGTTCGAAGGTATGAGATAAAAACGGAGGAGATATCTGATAAGTAAGGAGTCAGACCTACAGGCCATTCTTATCTGAGTAGATCGTTTGCAGACGATGTTGTTTGCTGTCGTTGAAAAATACGACGTCGTTGCAAAACGCGAAGTCGTTCGTTTTGCTATCCGTTGAGCGACCGCAGGGACTAGGAAAAAAATTTAACGTGAGTAACGTTTTGCGTGTCGATGCTGTATCAGATGTAGAAGCATTACAAACGTTTCGGGTTTTAAGCTCGGTATTCAATCTTGCAGGCATTGTTTTATACGCCTAGCTTCCAGCATAAAACGAAGTGTGCCCACGTCTTGATTAGAACCTAAACTACCACGTGCCTCTAAGTTCTGTAGGCGGACAAGTCACTACCGTATTATTACAAGGACCAAATGTATACTATATAAGGCGCTAACACCACTGGAATGGATTCGGTGCACTATACTAATGCGTTACGACGAGAGGAACATGATGATCAAATGAGAGAGTCTAGTATGTCAATGTACAAGCATGCGCCTGCCCTGCAAAGAACTTAACAATAAACTGACACTTTCACAAGTAAACAATTTTACAATTACTTGTGGAATGAACGTTTCATTGTCATCAAGCTCGTTGAAACAGCAGAACATTGTGGAAACTAAGGAGAGATTGCTAACTAACGAAAACGTCTCTCTGTGCGGACCTCGATGTATCAATGTGTACATGGACCTAACCATTTTTTGGAAAGCCGTTAAACATAAAAAGCCGCATCTAATGTATGCGCAGTTGATTTCAACCAAATTAAAGCTCCGTTGCACTAGGAATTATTAGAGAGTTTTTAAGCCAAGTGGTCGATAAGCTTGTCGTAGTACTTCGCAAATAGCTAACAGACGTCATCGCACGTTAATTGCATTACAACTACAATGTTTCTATGGACTTGGTTCTCTTCAGACTTTGTGGTCTTCAGCGGTTATCTCACCTGTCCGGTGAGAGCGGCTCCATGAAGCATGTTGTGAGGTGAATGTTGGTGTTGGTTGAATAGCGGGGTCGTACCCGTAGCAGAAAGAATGGCAGCGGCGTCAGGCACGATCTGGTCGTCGGCGGAAACCGTCGCACCACACGGGGGTACAACAACACTTAGAGTGCTGCCGAACGTCGCCAGGTCGCACATCGCAGCCACTCCACACGATCTGGGCGCATCAGCCGCCCTTGACCCAGCAACCCGACCTTATTTGTTAATAATTAGTCCTACTGATGATCCGACTCCCTATTCGGCTGTAACACACACATGCGCACACCCAGCTTTTGAGTAACAATAGCCACTAGACCGCGCTACAAACCACGTCGGTTTTAAAGTTCAACACATCTTGCATTAAGGCACAAATGAGATCAACACTGAGCGTATCCACAGCGCATAGCGAACTTCCTCGTTTAGGCAGACACCTTGTATTAGTTACAATCGCTAGCACAATTCCATAACGCAACGTCTACGCGCAGATAGATGGAGTGCTCCCATCTTAACGCTTGCCTTTCTGTCACGCACAAGACTGGGGTCACAAATAGAACCGGTTATGCCTAACCACGCTTTCCGGCTATGGATGGACAGCTTGATAACACAGGTTGTTAAAGCACACGTTTTTCGGTTTGGATTTTGCGCGGCGAAGATTTATCCGGCCGGTAGAAACATTACGTGTATTTGTCACAAGACAGCATCAAAGCTTGTTAACTTCTCACTTGATTAATGCTAACCAAAAAGACAGATTCACCGTAGCAGAGGCAGCTTAAACAGTTAGGTCATCCGATGAAATATCGTACAAGCTATTTTCGATAAGCTTGAAATGTAATGTATGAAAGAGCTTTCGCTCTTCACCGCAGCATCCAGGAAGACTTTACTTGGCTACGAACTGCGGCAGCCTGGCTTACTTCTGCGGCAGTACCGATACGACTGCAGAGCACGCTTTCTGGGCAGCCGATAAACACTAACCGAGCCGTCATCGACCAGAGGCGGGGCGTCGTGGACAGGCAGGCGGAGCTTTTAGCGCTTTGTCTGTTCGACGTTGGCTCCACCCACGTCTTCACGGCTACGGTATCTTGCTCACCCTATGATACTAAAACGGACACAGCAGCAGCGGGGCACCAGCCGTTTGAATCGAAGTTGCTTTGCCGGCGCGGTCAACCGCGATCAGATACCTACCGATACCGAGCGCAACCACTATGCCGTGATGAGGCTCCGGTTCACCTGCAGTAGTAGCAGCAGCAGCAGCCGCACTAGTGGTAGTGAACACTGGACATAGTCAGCGGACTCCTCGGTCGATCGATGAACATCCGTGCAATGTTTAAAGCGGGTCTTTCTGGCCGACCACTAGCCTTCATTCCGAAGCCCACATGCCTACAATTTCGATTGTCGACGATGTGTCGTAGAAACACCGTCGTCGTTTAAGTCGAATGTGGCTTTCCTTCGCAACTGCGGCCACCGAATCTTGTGAGCTGCAGTCATTTCGGAATACACGATGCTGCGACGCTACTCCCTGCTACTGCTACTATAACTGCAACTGAGACCTATCTCAATGAAGACTGGCCTTTAATCGTTCGTGGAACCAAGCGAAATGGGGAATCGCAACCCAGACGGTGGATTCAGTTGCGGCAATGCGCGTCCCGAGGTACAAGCCGATGGAGGAGCCGGGACTTATTGTAAGCCTCCTTTGCAAAAAAAAGTTTTAAACCTCTGCATAACAGCGGTACACTACGCAATGGTTAAGAGGGCAGTGTTTCCAACCCGTCTTTTTGTCAGTCACACGGTAAGTCTATATTGAGTATATGGACTTGCTACATTCAATGATAGCCTTACGTTAGGCTATTAATTTAATAACAAACGCCAGCAGAAGGGATCAAGATTTGGGCGCGGACTCTTTGCTCGTTAGAAGCTGGGGGGGGGGGGCTATAGACAGAAACTATAGAAAAGATAAATTTGGTCAAGTTAGAGGTTAAGATCTGCAGGGATGAGGACATTTAACGTTAATAGGTACAACATTATTGATGGCGAAGGAACGAGGCTTGAAGTAAGACTGGATTTGTAGTTTATGACGACATTTACTCGGTACATCCGACCGCCTTAATATTACTCGCGTTGTCATGGGATTATCAATTCCTCTCCTCCACCAAGTTGATTTCTAAAGGGATTTAGGGCAGACTGTCGTACGCCATTAAAACGGCTGTTGCCGTAGCGAAGCCAAAAATTATGTTCTTCATTTAACGGGGATCATCATGATGAACACCACTTGAAACACGCATTTATCTTAAAATGTCCTCAAAGTGCACAACTATGTTCTTTTCAGACCGTCATAAAGCAACACACTATACTGTTCAAGTGATGATTACTCGTTACTTTACTTAGTATTTTCGGGTATTTTTAGAAAGGTTTGAGCTTGCAGCATTACAGCCAACGAAAGACTGCAAACTCTTATAAGCAACTCTAGCGGCCAAACAAAATCGTCTAGCAATAATTTACTCAAAATAGGTTTTGCTTTTTTGCACTTTTTTTTTTCTCATTTGGGGCGTCACGTATAGCCGACTGTGTAATATTCACGCATGCCATAAATGTCATGCCTAGAGATGTTCTAACTAGATTATGCACTAAACCAGGAGTCTTCATCTTCAATATATTGGCTTAAAAATTACTCCCGGAATTTACTATATGGTCTTCATATGTTATAATGTAGAGCATGTGCAAAGTTATACGTATGCGTATTACGGATAAAAGACGAAACTTTCTCGGCTTTAGCAGCAAACGGCAGTAGCAGACAATGCAATATTACCTGCATTATATACTAGACTTTTTGCAAAGGTAGGTTCTTCGTCTATTTTTATGTTAGCCGGTTTATTAGTGTGTTCTTCAATATTGTTGCATCGTATTTATATATGCTTATTGGTGTCCTATTCCTCTCCGTCCGATTTGACTGCTGAGGTTCTAGATTATAACTTGATGGGAGTAAGCTGTAATATGTAATAAACAAATAATACGATAGCGGTAACCACTTGACAATGAAACGGTTGTGACGAAATTGTCAATAAACAACTAAAAATCCCAACAATGTCTGCCCTGCAGAGATCTGTCAGGCCAGATCTAGCTGCTTCTATTGAAATGGTCTATTGGAAACATACTTTGTTATGTGCTGAGAGGTAGCCGTCCGATGTAAGCAGTGTTTCTAAAAATATTACGTAATATTTTTGAATACTAAATTATGTGAAAAATTATGAGGGTCATTATTTCATCAGTGTTCTACTGCTATCCATCTTTGTCACTTAAATATAAATCTGACTGCAAAAAACTTTCATCAAACCAACCCAGAACAAACAACAATAACTTTAACAAAGATCGAGTAATTCTAAAATTTGCGAGCAAACAAACTAAGATGTATTATTAGAATCGGCAATTTGATGAATACGTCACTGATTCTTTCAAATGCAGTTGGATCTTTACACACCTGCACTGTTTCGGAAATGAAACTTCCTATAAATCAATACATAGCAAATGGCAAGGGTTACACACAGTATGTTAAGGCACACTAGGTAAAAACCAGGCTGAATTTCGATACAACTTTTAAAGAAATACAGCCCCGTAGTTTGCATCTTTATCTAATTAATGAAACATAATGGATTTGGCTCAAAGTCGAAGTCGCTATTGTCAGTTGGTCTTTGGTGGTACAGTGTAAAGTATTTGCTTTCTAAATACGTGAGGTGGTCTATTTGAAACCGAGAATGAATGCTGTTTCGTACTCAAAAGAGCTACCAGACGGTTTAGCTGTGCTTAATTAAGGCGGCACCGAACCGGACGCAAAATTAGAAACATTTGTTTGTGCTGCTGCCGAGTCGTGCATTTAACATTGCATTTGGTAAGTAATATTTTTTTTAAATGTTTTCCCTATCCCCGAGAGGTTGAACATCTTGGGAGTAAATGGTGGTTGAATAAAGAACAAGTTTCCCACCAGAAACAGATAGAGATTCTTACAGAGTAACTAATCACGGCGTCGGAAAGCACTTCGTTATGATTTTTCCGTTGTTCACCAAACTATTGGCTTTGATAAGTGCTGGGCCACACATCACCCTACATTTGATTACGTCGAAGTAACGGAGATTGTTAAACCCAAGGAACAACCTATGTCACTATAGGAATAAACAATGGGAAGGCTCTGCTTGGGAAACGTAACGGTAAGCACGTAAGACGTCGCAGGCTTCCCTACATCACACATTACGACAAAGAAAATAAAACGGCTAGGCGAATATTACTATTGGTAAAGGGCAACTGTCAATTTAGATATTGCGTACAACACTCGCAACGCATTCCCAGATTCCCTAGGAAATTCATGAGTGTCGTCAGTTTTCAATGTATATACCAAGCACGACTCACACCTACAGAAAAAAATTGAGTGAATCTCGTTCATTTTGGTTTCGTTCTTTATTCCATATCCGCAATCTTAGCCTATGGTCTATTTCTGTATTAGTTTTTTTTTAAGCGGGTAATCTACTAGTTGTGATTTATGAACTTAAATGTACAAGACGTCTCGCGCTGTACATGGTTTTATGCTAAGAAGCTTGGAGGTCAGCACAGAAAATGTAGTACTTAGCTCTTATCTTCTGCTCAAGAAGACATCAGAAAGAATGACTGGACATAAATCGGAAAAGTTAACCGTTATTTCGTTAGATAAATAAATGCGTTCGCAATTTTTTGTTTTTGTTCTGGTAATGGTGAGGTGATAATCTACGCTTACTAAACTTCGGTACATTTGAGCTGCTCTAGACCCAGACTCGAACCGCATTTGATTCTGCACCAAGAGCCAGCGGTCTGAAGTAATACTCAACTACGGTATAAGATATCACACTTGCAAGTTATTTGAATTGTTTTTTGCGTTTTGTTTCGAACTTTTTCTTCGGTTTTTCTCGGATCCACAGGACTGACCCATGGCCCGACTTAGAGTCTAGCAATTCTTTGCCCATCTGTTAGCCACGTGCCAAATTAAAAAATATGGGTTATACGTTGCAAACGCTTTGAATCTGGTGATTTTTTACTGGTTATTTTAGAAAGCGAACATGGAGCGCTAAAGGATATCACGTTCTGTGTTAAAAACAAGATCAAGGACCGCGTTATTAGTCGATACTGAAATATCAGGGAACCAATATGTTTCTTGATAAATGAGAACTTTAAAGACAGCACTCTTTCTCACGAAGCATGGCCATCCTGTAGTTTTTAAAAGAGGTTGATGTGTCACATGGTTCATCTCATAACTACAAAATTAATTTTGAGAAAAGATATCAGCAACTGCAACAGAGGAACTTCGATGTACTCTAAGAGAATCTAGATTTGGGGAGACGTGTACGTAAGTCGAACCGTAGGTACAGTTGTCTAAGCACTGAACCCAGACCGAAAAAACTGATTAAACGCCAACTCTTCATCCGCTCCGCAAACTTTCTCGGTATAAAGCGTCTAGTAGTTTTGTCTCAGATACTATTAAAAACTTTCATAAGGTTACTGAAACTGAAATGTTATAACCACAAATTTTTAACCACTAAAATGCACTGGCTCGCACATCGGTACTTTCATCACATTATGCTGGTTTTGTGTCAACCCCTTGTATTAATTTATATGATTCCTCTTAAAGGTGATAAAGCGCTTTAACGGACTGAGGTAAATTCCTATGATCAAAATTCACCTTTGCTGTAGTGAACTACTGAGATGATCCAGGTAATTTTTGGGTACTACTAAGGTAAATGCTGAATACTCTGCAGACCTTTTCTAAAAGGTAAAAAGAATTTAAGCTCACATCGGGCCACACAAGTCTTAAATTTCTACCTATAATTATTACAACTTCATTAGCAATTTAAGTGAAAACAAAGTGGATGAAATTGATCTTATTAAGTTAGTTCTTTATTGTCTTAGTTCTAGGTACAGTGAAGATATCGTACGGTTCATGTAACATATATATGTTATATAGATATATATATATGGTACTTTTTACGGGTGCGTATGATTGGGGAGGAACACGAGATGCTTCGGTGTTTACGCCTGGTCGCTTAATTTGTATAATATTTACAAGGCAGTTGGTCAGGACCAAAGCGATGCTCAAGTCAAGCATCACCGGTGGCGGTTTCTGTGGTACACAAATTTGCTTGCTTTGTTTTCTTTAATCTAGTTTTCAGGCGTGCAATGGTATAACACAAGTTCCTTTGTTGATAACAATATTAGTACGTCCAACGTAGGTTTTAGGATAATGACGTCACCCAAAATCCTTTGTCGTCCCTATTAGTTACGATAATGGCGCTACCCAAAGCCCTTCTGTCTTCTCATTGTTGTTTATCAAACTATCGTCTGCTTCGTTCGAATTACTACCGCCCCGCACTTACCTGTCCGCAACTTCCTGCCCGATGATATTTCTCCGCCATACCCACGAGAGACTAACGTATCTCTACGGTAGGTACCGCGGTGCTACTATGCACAGCATGAAATGATAATTTATTCGCTTTTAAAACTAAAATAAGACCCGCGGCCCACTGGTTCTTGTGTTAGGTCACAATTTTCCGCAATTAATCGAACCTCTTGCGGGTATTGAACGTATTGAAACCACCACTTTTCATTCCGAATCCTCCCTTCATACCACCCGCCGAACCGAATCGGTTTCCTCCACCGAAACCTCGACTGGCCCCGCCATAGCCGTAACGAGAGTAATTGTTACGAGCGCCGCCACTTCCCCAGCGGGCCATCTCCACAAGCTTGGGATTGACATCCTGCTTCGCTTCTTTAAGCACTTCTACGAGATCACGTGCCTGCTTCGAGTCTTTCTTGGTGAACATCGTGTACGCGGTGCCTGCAACAGACAAGTAGATTTGATCGTCACATAGGGTCGAGCATTTGAAAAATCATCTTGCGACGTTTTTTGAAGCCATTTTCAGCAGAATTTACTTTTAGGCAAACTATCGAAATGTTAAGCTTCTTACAAGTTTTCATGATTGGCTATTCTCCTCACATGTTGTTAATGCTTTTTTATGGCTTACCATTTTTGTTGGACCTTGCCGTACGTCCAATGCGGTGAATGTAGTCTTCCGAGTTATTCGGATAGTCGTAGTTAACGACATAGGCGATGTCATCCACATCTATAACAAAAAAAGCATTAACACCCAATCTACAACGCAAACCCCCTCGATATCCCCTTTCCAATAGATACACAGCTCACGATGCGGCACTATCTTCCGAAACAAAGAAGTATAAGTCTCCCTCGCTCACCCTTACGCACATAAATATGCCAGGCCATAATACAAGCCACTACAAGGGTCAGTGTTGCACCTAGTCACCATATGCTTTCCAGTGACGAGGACCTTACCATCCCTCCGTACAATGGCACACATTTTGAGAGCAAGGAAAACTTCCTCAGCCGAAACGCCGCTAGATTGCCGCCATTTCTGTCGAAAGCGTTTCTAGAGCGGCGCTTTGACTTAGGAAAGTGACGCTCGATATGAGAGAGTGAGAGAGACCCGCGCGAGTCCGTCGACCCTCTTCCCCCCTGCGTGCGACGGACGACTCCAGCCTTCGACCGCCCCCTACAATCGCAGCTCCTGCATTCCAACTCTGGTAGTGAGAAGATGTACTACTGATTATCTTCACGGATTTGTCCAAGAAACTGTCGTTCAGACAGGCCACTGTCTCAGGCAGTGGCGCGGTCTCCGACTGAACTCCCACATCTCCGAATCGGACCCGACTTGTCGACCTGCTACTCCGATCCTCTCCAGTTTCTCAGCTTTCTTCGGGATCGGGATAACTTCGTGCGATAGCATCTAACCGTCTGTTTCGAACACGTTACTCCATACCAGCGATTATGATTACCATGGCGGCGTCCGTTACAGAGTTGATACGCAGAAGGAAGCGATAAGGTAACTAGCCACTTCACGAGAAACATCGATTGTAACAACAGCCATCCAGTACCCACAACAGTCCACATCAATATATCCCTCATAGGTCGCCTAGGTTTTTCGTAGTTTCGTGTCTATATCTTCGTTGCCAACGGCGACCCCTCCTTTCACGGACTGCAGGCACACGGGAAGATCACAGGCTTAACAGGCAACAGGCATCAGCTGTACTAAAGCCATACCCAGAAAAGATAACCCAGAAAGGCAACCAAAAGGAGCACTGTTATGAGGAATAGGCATTTCGTAACCAAACAGCAGACCCATTATTTAGTTCACCAGTGACTACCATAGAGCAGAGGGAACACGCTCACTGAATAGGTTCATCCAAAATATCAACTTGTCAATGGAGAGTATCACCTTTTTGGCATATAGCGCTTATATTCAAAACGTAGTAGTCTTAATCGCTCCGTCGCCATCTACCCCCTACTAAATTCGTACGGGGCCACCTTGATCCGAGTGCTGCTGATGCTTACCGATGTTTCCTATCGTGGTGACAATTAGCGAGTCAGATAATTCTCGAATCGTATTGTCTGTCGACAAGCTGTCGTCGTCAGCCCGATATTTAGCCCCGTTAGGACTAGTTGACGACGCAGCACGCAAGAGCGAACGGGTTCCGCCGATCCTTTCGGAAGGGCTACCGGAGTGCCGCTTCAAGTGCCGGACCAGTAGCCGGGCGCCAAGCGATCCTCGACTGCGCCGGCCACTGTCCTAACCCCATACTTACCCAAACCGCGGGCAGCCACGTCTGTGGCTACCAACACTTCCAGACGGCCAGAACGGAATTCTGTAAATACACAACAATGATATAGATGCACGTTAGTAAATAAACTCTCATTGAATATATATCTGCCAGCTTTAGATACACTATATTTAGGTGTAAACAAAAAGAGTGACTCAGTGATAGTACCACAATAGAATGTCAAAATAGCTCTCGTGATCTGAGAGGTACTCTAAGCCACTTACGATAGAGGATCTTGTCCCTCTGCGCCTGATTTTTGTCTCCATGAATGGCTTGACAGTTAATCCTCTCTTTCCACATATACGAGGCCAAGTCATCAGCTGCTCGCTTGGTCGAGGTGAAGACCAGGGTTTTCCGGCTTCCACCTGCCTTTTGGATATCACTGAAAAAGTCCATTAGCTTACGAGTCTTATCATGCTCGTCAACCACGTCTACGATCTGGTGGATACGGTGATTCGCGGACAACGCTAAAGAACCGATGTTAATCTGTGCGAAATTTGTTAGTAAATCCGATGCAAGACCCTGAACTTCTTTGGGCCACGTGGCGCTCCACATCAGGGTCTGACGGTCCGGTCGAATTTGGCTAACAATCTGACGAATCTGCGGCTCAAAACCCATATCAAGCATACGATCGGCTTCGTCCAGAACAAGGTAAGTGCATCGACGAAGGTTAGTTGTACCCGATTGAAGGAAGTCTATAAGACGACCAGGCGTAGCGACGCAGATCTCGACACCTCGTCGCAAATCGCCAGCCTGGGGACCACGTTGCGCTCCACCAAATACACAGGTGGAGCGAAGACGTGAATCCCGGCCAAACTCGGCTGCTACCTGTTGGATCTGCTGGGCCAATTCGCGGGTCGGGGCCAAGACGAGGACAATAGGGCCATCGCCCCTTTGCAGACGTGGCTGGTTGTTCACGTGGATAATGGCAGGTAGCATAAAACCGAGTGTCTTGCCCGATCCCGTTTGCGCAATAGCCACCATATCACGGCCTTGCAGTGCGATAGGCCAACCCTGTGCTTGAATCACAGTTGGATTCTCATATTTCTGATTCTTGACAGCATGCGCCACATAGCTGGGCAGCTGTGCTTCGCCGAACGTACAGATCGGATTAGGAATTTTCTGTCCTCCTGTCCTCATGATTGTCAGCTCGTGCTTATCGCGCCACATACGAACTTCATGTTCACTCCGAGCAGCTGTCGTTGGATGTTCCCGATAGAAATTGCGGGAGAAATCTTCAAGCTTTTCACGGGACCAGTCGACCGCCGTAAGGAATTTGTTCTCATTCCCCCATCTATTGGCACCAATACCCCCTCGGGCACCGCCACTATCCCGAGAACCTCCATAGGACAGCCGGGAGCCCCCGCCATAGCCAAAGGACCTAGAGCTGCAATTGAGAGGACCGAGATTAATCGTCATTAACCTAGACAGACGGCTGACTGAAAATGTATTAGTAACCAACGGTGGCTACGCGACAAAATTCAGTTTAATTTCTACACTACAATAAGACTTAACTGCGCATGCGACTTCATTGTTGTTAATGGGTGGTCAAGCCCTAAGTTAAATCAGCTAGTATAAGCCAGAGCACTACATTACATTACTACATACACAACTGGGTGTTTTATCAGCTATAGAATAGAGCACAAAGAGCCCGTTCGTCGACAAAGGTAAAACGTGTAAGTATTGTAAGCGCAACTACTATTTCCTGCATTATTAGCTTACTTCGTTTACTAAATGAAAATAATTTATTTCAGTTCTCTTGTGTTGTACTGTCTGCAACAACTTACTACCAATTTTTGCCGGATCCTTAGGAAACGTATAACAATCTAACGCGAACTGTTTTCTTAGCCGAACACAAGTTTTATGTTTAATATTTTAAATTCTAAACAAAACTCTTGAAATACATTTCATCATATAAAGTCAGCCTCAGCCAAAATCAATCCAACTCATTTTTGCCACGCGCACATATATGAGTGAGTCATTCAGGAACAGCAATCGTGCTACCGGGCCTGTAATTCCGGGCAGGAAACATAATGCAAATGAAGATCTGTTCACTATTTCTTGCACAGCATTGTTCATTTAACTTTGGTTCAGCATATGGACTATTAATGTCCACAACGAATTTAATGGTGCTGCTTGACTTGCACTTGAATATTAGAACGTTCGAGCGTGGCACGAGGAAGCTCAGTGAAATGTAAACGTAACGTGTTTGTATGGTGCTGCATGTATTATAAGCCACTAGTAACTACAACCGTAACAACAGAGCGTAATGTTAAATCAAGCTTTAATGTTACCAAACAATGATGTTCAACTCAATTCAGCGGGAGTAGGTTCGGGTTTTATTGATCGGGGAAGTGTCCCTATTTTGAGAGTCTAGCAAAGCTATCGACCACGAGATTATCTACGCCTAACAGAGCGCCTAGCAACCAACCGTCAGTTTGTAGAAACGAGTGATAAGAGAAATTTGTAAACAGTGAGACATACCTTACATTAGATCCGTACGTCATACTGATCACCGGTGAGTTCGTATGATTCGCTCAAAGATTACAAGGATTGTCAAACACATCAACGAAAAACCTACCACTGTATGCTGACAAAAGTCTCGCTACTGTGACTGTGTCTGCCTACAGCGAGCACGAAACCGATCCAAGATGGCGACTGGCCCAACACTGATGCTTAATGGGGACGCGGGAAAATTTAAAATAGCAATTTCACGGTGGCTACAATCATATATCAACAGTATTTTGGTGATATTTCTCATGTTCACGTATCGTTTTTAACGAATTGTCAAAATTGACACACGACGAATTGATGCCTTGAAACTAGCTTATTGTTTTTGTCAGACCCAACTCACGAAATAGCAAGATGTGCACATAATAGAATATAGACGGCGCCAGGGTGCACAGCCCGCGAACAGCGTCGCTGCCGTTATCAAAGTGTCGCAAAAAGTTAAGCTGAAGCAAATGCAAAAAACAGCTGGGACGTGTTAAGCATATGAAGTCATATTGCAAGCATTTACAAGAAGACAGCAGTACCAGAGATTTTGTGTGCACTGTGGCTATTTATAGGAATTAACTTGGTTTCCAAACTAGTTCACATGTTCGGTGAATGGATCGTCTACATAAACAGCAAACTGAAACCATGACGCCGGAGGAACAAGAACGAGATCTTGTAGAACGCGAATTAGCCGAATATGTGAAACGCTACTTCAAAGGAGCACTGTAAGATTTTTTTGTTTAGGTTTTATGTCAATGCATGAAGCACGCCCGGTCGGTGGAGTTGATCGCTCTCTAATTTAATAATAATAGTGTATAGTTCTTGAGCATCTCTCTAATTTCTCAAACTTTCCGTTTTTCGTTATGCTTCGTATATTACGCGCAGCAAACGGCGACTAAAAGAGCCGAGGACTGACTTTGAGCATACGATTCTTTAGTCATTTATTTTACGCATGAGATCATATGCCTCGTTCAATCATGCTACACACAAGAAACCCGCCAAATTTAAATCTTAGACCTATAATAGGATTGAAGTGCCAAAAATGAAAGGCGTAAAAACTCCATGGACCCGTTCACATAATTATTTATTATTGCAACGCTTATAATATAGGGTACTCAATCTTACTGGTGATTTTTTGTAGCGGGCAGTTTTCGTGTGCTACGAACAATTAAAGTGTGTAATAATACCATTCTCACTTAAAAAAGCCGCCATTGTTGCTGAAATATTACGGCGTTTTCCACAAATTATTAGTTGTATGCTGTTCGCTGTGTTGGGGCCAATTTGCGTGCATTCAGGCGCACATGCTGATTAAGTAAGTTCTAAAAGCCTTTTAAATAACTGGATTCGAATCCTTTGTTTGTTCGCCTGTTTTTTTATTACTCACAGTGCAAAGGCGACAGAGTTGACGGTGAAGAGTTCGCGCTCAAGACACGCAGTCGATATCCAGAATCTTGCTTCTCAACATTATGAAGAAGGTGTCCGCAAAAGCTTCGATGCTATACATAAGCTATTTAAAAGCGAAGGTCTTCTGGAACAAATGACGAAGTTAAGGGAGATGGACAAGCAACAAAAGCAGTTTAAAGGCACAACCGTAAGGTAAACCGCTAAATAATTCTTTAGTTAACATTATGAGATAGGCATAGATTATACGATTTTGCGAGGTGTATGTTATTATAATGCATAGTAATAGACTGTTATAGTTCTGTCAGATGGGCGGAAAGGTAAATATAAATATACTAACATTGTTCTGCAAGTAGCACGAGCTCAGGTCAGATAGTCGCGTCCAAAGTTCGATGGGAAACATTAACCTATTTAGGAAACTTCGGAAAACGGATCTGGTAGAACAAGCAATGTATAGCTAAATGGATGTTATCAATCTATTATCCGGTCTGACTCAGAAGAATGGGAATGTAGTTTTGGTATAATTGAATAATGAATTTTGTTATTATTACAAGCATTGATTGAAAATTAATCAGAAATAATTGACAAACCAAAAATAGTGAAATAATGCTAAAATGATGATTTAGGCTCACGTGTTGAACCTGCTGCAGACACGAAACGTTGTTGCGTAGTGGCCGAATTTCGAGAGCAATCGCTGTTATGATAACATGTGTTTGCTTAAGCAAATTGCAGGTTTGCCCCATATGTAGGCTTACAGAACCAGTTAATCTATGATACTGTGAAACTTAGTCGACGTTTGATTGTGCCTCCGAATTGTAGTGGCTCTCTAAAAATCTTATTGACTGTGTAATTTTTAGTCCGACAAATTAATGTCAACAAACCTCATTGCTTTCAGACGACCCACTGGCATCGCTTCGATAGATACTCAACTCTTGGTAGATGTGCTAAACACTGGTCTGTTACGTAAGGAACGTGAGATCTTAGAAGAGCTTAAACAGGAGCAGGACAAGCTTATTGATGAGCTAACAAATTTATCTCCAAGCTGATCACGAGAAAAAGTCGTTTTCCCGTTGTGCTGATTGAACGCTTTTGCTGGGAATCGTGGTTGGACGAATACCATCTCTCTGGAGTGGATTCGTATGTGCGTGTGGGAGAAGAAATAGCGGTTTCAGCGTCACGTATGGCGGAACAGCGAAGTTGGATACCGTGCTCGCTTTATAATTACCGTTTAAAAATTTCTTTGTTTCATTTACTATGACCATACGATGCTATGTTCCTTCCACGGTGAAATAATGAACGGAGGTGCTAGATATGCAGCTTGTATAAATTTATCATCTAGGCGAGTACACAAATGAATAGCTCTAAACGTATGTCGGCGATAGCGAAACGACAGCAGCTGAGCACATCGTAAAACATTTAGTATTTTCGGGAGCACGTGTATGAAGTAATATGTCTTGTTTGTGTTGCTTAACATGTGTATAAAGAGTAACTTCTAGTACAGCTTTTATCCGTATAAATCTGTGCAAAATGTTAGATTCAAATGTCTTTATTATTTTGCTATCATATATGATGGCCGTATGTGTAACATCAATTGGTCGTATAAGATTTAAAAAATTAACAACATTACAGAGAAATGTTATTTATTCCGTATAAAATACACCTTGAATATCTTCCTCACATTTAGGACAACAAAATTTTGCATTTGTATTATAGTAATCAATTTATTTTATACACTGCCATTGTGTCTTTGGGCATTTACAAGGCTTTTTATATACACAATACAATTCGATAAATCAGTGTGCTGAATTTTCTGTTCGTTATGTATGTGTTAATGGCCCCAAGTACTCACGTCACAGTCAGAAGTTGTGGATCAATACCACTTTCTCCTTTGTGCTGGTGCCAATCCACCTGTAAGCGCTAATATCGTAAGTTGCCTTCAGTTCAGATTGAACATTTTAGCAACACGGGCAGAGACGGAATAATTGATGATGCGTTTTATAAACAGTGGGTCGGTCTTCTGCCATTTGGGTATACTTATATTTTTTTTTACTATACTATATATCTAAAAATATTATTATTACTCCCTCGTGTCGTTATTATTGACCTTAGAGCAATAATTATAGTTATACTGTACGTCTATCTGAATATATATAGAGAAAGAGGGATTTTATACTGGGTAACTATTAGTATCTTTCTCTCCTTTCGGTTTCTCATTTGTTTGTGCTCGTCAGCGACTGTCGAGAGTAAGCGAAATATTCAAAGTTTACCTATTTAGATTATAATCATAAAATCCGCGTATCTCCCGCATTATTTAACTGTTTCATATTATTGTGCTACTTTCCTTAGAACAAACGAACTTTTCCCCACTTTTTTCTGCTTACGCAAAACATTGTGAAATCTTCCCAACATCTTTAGGAAGATATCAAATGCTATATGTTATTCTATGTCGACATAGGCCAAACGTTCAGACAGGTGTCAGACCTCGTCAATCCTGTTACATTTGTAACTTCTGTCTCGTATAACAGCGCGTTCGATTTATTAACCGTTAGGGGCTCCCCCTTCGATCTCTGACAAGCAGCAATAGCCCTAAATGTCGATTGCTTCAGAGCCGCCTTGGGGTGACATGCCCAGGCACTTACGCTTCGCCTTACAGGCAGGCAGGCACGTTATGTACAACGCTTGAGCCATGATCAGATGTAATAGTAACAACGACCATAGATGAGATGTGCCATGACGGATGAACAATTGTCAACGATACAAAGGTCATACGTGAGTTCGTGCAGATAAGGCAGATAACATACTACACCAGCGCGTCTGTTTATAGAATTTTCTCTCAAGGTTGGCTTGACAAGTAAAGGACTCTAAAGCCTTTTCAATAATAAGCAACGTTCGTCAAAGGCTCTTTTTGTGTCACAAACTCTGCGTCCCCGCGTATTTACCCTTCCTTATAGATGCTTCGTAGATATAAAAGACGTTACTTTCCCGGTTATTGAAAATGCCGGTCGGATGCTGTTGTGACTTGTTTTTTCGCTTAATTGTTTCAACTAGCGGTACTTTACAATCGATGGTGAGGTTTGATTAAATATTTAATATCTGACCAAAGGGTTCACCGCCACAGCTTTAGGCCGATTACGACAGCGATCATATTTTTACAAAATAGCTCGAAGGCCTCACCCCAATTGATTTCCACTATATCGATGTTGATTGTCAATGGATAATACACTCGATATGAATGTGAACAATGGAATGGTGCTTTCTTCGTCAGTGTGTTTTATTATAATGATGGTGATGATTATAGTCAGTGTAATGGTCTCTTTTGCGAAAGTTCTCTTCATTGAGATGTGGGAGTGGCAAGATGGTCGATCTCACGTTGTGCTTTTGATACCGATGTTTTAGCTTTCGGGGTTCGCTCGCCAGTATCTTTAGCGAACATCTTCATCTTCTCTTGGAAGGTCAATTTTTCGGGGCCTTGGGGATTGCTTTCCTTCTGACTCTGCTTTGCATTGATGATCCGCTGCCGGGGATCCCTGCAAATTGAGTCGATATTTTATAAGGGTATTTCAATCTTACTTTAACAAAAGTAAATTCGTAGATTTTAATAGTTATTAAGAATTATTAAGAAGATTAGGAATAATAATAACAATAATATACAAGTTTCAATTTAAATGGAAGGAACCTTTATATGGAATCGCGATTGTTTGGGTTCTTTCTATTTTGAGTGAATTATTTATTTGAACGGCTAACAATAGTTTCTCGTAAACAAAAGCCAGAACGTCTTACTGATTCACACCTGTACACTTCCTGGCTTCCAATGACCCCAGGCGCCTGTGGGCTGAAGGTAAGTTGAGGTTGATTGAGCACTTCATCTATATCTTCGAGTGTGTACTTCTCTGCTCTCTCGTTCTCACTTCCAGCTACTTTACCATTCAAACCGTCGGTCTGCAGTGTTTGTCCACCGCTCGCAGGATGTTGTTGTTGTTGTTGTGGCTCGCTTTGTAAAGCAATCTGTTGTTGTTGTTGCTGCTGCTGCTGCTGCTGCTGTTGTTGTAAATGTTGCATATGTTCCATGTGTTCCATTTGCATAGCCATCTGACGATGATAATCTTCGCTTTCAATCATCTGTTCGTCATCTTCGTCCTCGTCGTAATAGTCATCCTGACAAAATGCATTCAATGTTAGCGATTGTCAATTAGCCTACAAATACTTTTCTTAGTAACTTCCTGTCATCTCAGTATTTCAGCACTGATGGTTATCAGAACCTCAGGTAGAACAAGTCTATTTTTTTTACAAAATAGCGACACAGTCAGCAACACTGAGTACGTTTCTAGATAAAGATTTTCACCGATAAGGATTTCCTGAGTTTAGAGACTTTGACCGTGTAATCTACATCGTCTAACTCTCATTACGCATTTAGTTATCTTCTACACTTAAATGTATAATTATTATGTAAATCTGTCTACTCGGATTATCTATTGTACATTAGTATCACACACCTCATAGTTATCGTAGGAGACTTCTGTGTGCGTCTCGTGGAAGGAGACCTTCTTCTTTGCCGGAGGCTTCACCGGTGCTTCTCCCTCGTTGTTATTATTGTTGCTATTGTTATTACTACCACTGCTATCGTTATTGTTTATAGTTGGCTGTTTTAGGTTGCCCTTGCTTGGACTGCTTGATACTCCTGTAAGGAAATTGCAAACGAACATTTATTCAACGAATATATAACTGATTTGATTAACATTATCGATCAAGATATATAAATATGATAAGTTTACCTTTTTACTTCAATATACTAACATGATAAATATACGAAAAAACAAATCATGCATATCATAGCAGGCCACAGTGGACTGTTTAAACTAACTGTTTTTTTATCAGCTAAAAAGTGTATTTTTCCAACAGATTGATTTTGCACCTCCTGAAAATAGATCGTTCCGTATATAGTTTATGGGTTCGTGGAATTTCGATAAGCCGTTTTCATCAGGTGATTTTTTTCGCGTACCATTCGAATTTTTGAGCACCGACTGAAGTGGGGCGGATCCATGGTTGTTTGTCACGCCTGATTCGGTTGTCGCTATCGTGGTCGCGTTCACGTCATGACTGTTGTCGTTTAATGGAGTTGACCCGTCAAGGGGCGGCGGTGGTGACTTGGGTAAAGGTGGTGGTTCGTCCTCGGGGTCCGCCAACGCAACACTGTCCAGTCGTACTGTCGCATCCTGAAATAGTCATATAACGAAAGAAAGAAAAACAAATAGTTCAGCTTTTTAAGTTTAAGCCTCGAATTAGAAGAAACAAGCCCAAATGCTCTCATTCAAACATGTTATACTGCCGAAACGGTGGTACCATCATCACCGATCGATGTATTATGTACTCGTACAACGAATGGACACATTTTGCCTGTTCATTTGTGTGGTATATACAGTAGTGGCGTACGTAATACACACGAACGAATTCTCCTCCAATGAACTAACCTCAAGCTGCTTCTGTTGCGTTTCCCGTTCCTTGATTTCTTTTGCACGTTCCCGCTCACGCTGCTGCTGCTGCTTCTCCCTTTCAACTTGTTGTTGCTGCTGGTGTGTTTGTTGTTGCAGATGCTGTTGTCTTGCTTTGTCGATGTTTTCCTGGATTTGGACGATTCGTTCGACGTCGTTCCGCCTTGTGTCCTCTTCGTCATCATCTTCATCGCCTTCATCAGCTCGTCGACGGAACTCCCTTTCGAGTCGAAGGCACCGCAGCCGGTCTTCTTGTTTCTCGTCTCTTGAGGGCAGGGCTTCCAGCTCGTCAATCTCCATGTCGATGCCTCGAAGGATCTCCTCAAGGCGCTCACGTTCGCGGCGTTCCTTCTCCTCACGTGCGGTCTTACCTAGGATGCCATTAGGGGCCAAGGGCATTACCTGCGCGATGCTTTCAAAGCGATCCCTGATCTCAACTTTGCGTGTCGAAGTCTGCTGTTGTTCGTGACCCGATCGACTCGAGCTACTGCTGCTACTGACAAGCGTTTCCGGTCGCTCTAATTGTTGCTTCTCTCGAAATTGTCGCCTGTTGACTTCCTCTCGGATCTCGTCCACCTTGGCCTCCGCACGCATTTGATTTGGGCTTTGGCTGGTTGAGGAATGGCGTACGGAACTCTCGCTGGTGGCATGCCGCAGCGAACTGTCCTGGCTAGTTTGCCGCACCGTATCCATAATCGAAGTCTCCTGCCATTGCGATGCTTTCGTGCTCTGTCGTGACGGTGAGTGTACTCGAGGATTCGGTGGGATATGGTTCTGATAATGTGGGGGCACTAGGCCGTTCGGTGTGCGTTGTTGAGAATGTTGTGGAGTTGGCATTTGTGCTACCTGTGCAGGTGTGTACTGCGATGGCGGAATCGGCATTAAATGATTCTCATATGGTGGGTTTTGGCCCATCTGATCAGCGTAGTTGCCGTGCTGGGGCTTGAGGGGCGCGTTTTGCTGACCTGCGTGAGGCTGTGGTTGATATTGACCATAGATGGCGCTCGGGTGCATGGTAGCAGCAGGCTGTGCAGGCTTACCAGGTATTTGCATTCCGTGCGGGTATATCTGTGGACCCTTCGACGGCCCGTACTGACCCTGAGGACCATATTGACCCATGGGCTGTTGCTGTTGCTGTGACTGTTGTGGCCCATGACGCTGGTGACTCATAAACTGTTGTTGCGGCCCGTGCGTGTTTTGATGCTGTGTCTTGTGCTGATATATCGAGATATTCTGGTAAACGGATTCGCCAAGATCGTAATCGCCGCTTCGTCGAGGTTGCTGATGAACACCGGGAGGCGGTTTCGGGCCAACAACCGGCGGAGCGTTGACCATACCCGACCGTACGGGCCCGAGCGGTGGTCCCATAGATGGTGAATTAGCTCCTATTAACTGTTGTTGCCCTACCGATTGATTGGGTATAGGATGCTGTTCGTAGTGGTTCGACAAAGAAGATACGCTCGCGGCACGCGCCCCATCATGGCCAAGCGGCTGGGGATAGGCCTGCTGCTGTTGGGACGAATAGGCGTGTGCACTTAACGGCTGGCCACCTTGTGCGTAATTCAGCTGCGGCACTGATTTACTTTCGTGTATCCGCTGTCCTATTTGTGCGTGCTGTTGCTGATGTATCGACATATTCGGCAACGTGTGAGCGCTGTTTGGATAGTCAACTCTTGACGGGGCATCTCGGTCGCTCAGGCGGCGAATGCTTTCGCGACTATTATTTGGATCACTCTGTGTCATCGGCGACTGTTGAAGTAGATTTGCCAGTCCATGGAGAATGGCTCCCTGTTTTGCTACATCAAGACGGACGACGTCGCCGGTTCGCATCATCAGTTGGGCGGCCATATCTTGGCTAATACCGCTAAGCGAGTTGCCGTCAACCTTCAAGAGATGGTCGCCAGCTTGTAGACGACCGTCCTGGTCTGCCGCTCCCCCCGGAACGATACTTTTCACATAGATGCCAAGCTGCTCCTGGCCATAACCCCTTGCTGCAATAATTGACAAGCCCATCGATTTGTTAAGTTTTTTCAGATATAGAGTACAAATCTCAGGTTGTTGCATTGGTCGTACAGGCTGGCCTTGTGGAGGCTCCCTTATGGTCCTGGCTTGAGGCCCCGCCTGCTGCTGTTGTTGCTGAATGGGCTGCGGATGAGGTGGCGGCTGATTGTAAATCGATTCCTCATTATTATTTTGTGCTTCTCGAGCGAACGAATTATTTCTTATGTGTATGTCCTGGTCCGCCATATAAATAGTCCAAAGGCCGATAGACGTAGGTTGTAGCGTAAGTCTGCAGAGACCCGCATTGGTGAGCGGGGCAAGAAACTCTGTGAGACCCTGCGGAACTCCTTGGATCACTTCGCAGGTGTAGCCATCCTCTGGAAGCAGGAAAGGTAGTTGTAAATTGGGATCTTCCTGTAAACGGACATCTTGTTCAGGGCTCGCTGCTTCCCTAGATTCTGCCATTGTGCACACTTGTTCGATAAACGCTGGCGACAGTGGGGGCTCTCCGCTTTCCGTATCGACGCGGTATTTCTCAAGCATGGCCCGCAGCTGAAGTGAGTTCAATTTGAAACATGTCTGAACCAAATCGACAGCGTTCTCTTGAGATTTGTGCGTCTGCAACAGATGGGCTGCTTGGATAATTAAACTGAGATGGCAATCAGCGGCCAATTCTAAGCCTTGTTTCTCGGCCCATTTAACTACCTTAGAGAGGCGGCGTTTCAGGCATGAACCCCAGAGGCTGTGACACATGTTGTGTTGCGTCGAGCCTTTCATCGCAGACTTAATGGTGGCATTGAAAAGCCACATATTAAGAAAATGAAATAGTTGTGAGAACAGCTGAATGGTCAAGGCAGCGTTGACGCGACAACGTCTCAATAATGTCATGCTACCAGCAAGCACGTTGACAACATCGGCGATGGCACCGTCCACATCGTTTACATCGGTCGGATTTCGGATAAACGGCGGTAATGCGGCATCAAGATCAGCCTGCAGGCAGCTAGCAAGACCGCCGAAGCACATCTGCACGCTTTCGCCTAACATATCTTGAGCATCCAGCGTGTACGCAGACAAATGGCGATCGTTTTTGAGGAAGTGGAGCAATTCCGAGGCGTTAGCTAGCCAGAAAGATAAACAATGGACGCGATGTTGCGCCATGGGCGCGGAATTCGGTGGCGGCATTGTACACCGTTCCTCAACGGCACGCTGGATCAGCCGCGCCACTTGATCGACGACGCCGGTCAGAAGGACGGCACGTTCATTAGGCGAGCATTCCGGTCGGAAATGCGTGGATGCCCGGTACCGGGCAGCCATATATAGAGCGTATGTAGGCGACAGTTTAAATTGGACTTGTGCAGGATCTAGCCGAGTGATGACGCTGTCCAAAAACACGTTCTCATCTGTGAACGATAAGAAAAATGCACGACTTGAGGATAGACAGTACAAAACGAAGTTTAAAAACAGTCAGTACAAGTGAAAACAGAGAAACAAAGTTAAATCACTTGTTACGCGGGGGACCAACTAAAGCTGGTATATATTTCTATTTGTGAACAAAATATCCATGTAATTTACTTCAATGGGCCACAAACAATAATGCTTGTCTCTATAGTCAATAAATGCATAAGTACGTACGATCTTCCCAAAACTCGAGCACCGCAGGTAAAATCGGATCCCTTCCAGGGGGCACTGCAGATCCATGATGACCTCCTGAAGCGACCATACTCCCGTCGCTGTTGGTCGATGCATGACGCTCATTCTTTGAGTCATACTCGCCGCTTACCGAAGCAGGACGGGGTCCCATTGGGTCCACCTATCGAAACGAGTGAGTAATGAATACATGTACGCGTATGTTAGTTATTAGCATATCCATACGTTATAAAAGCCGTAGTAAAATGTTCTCCCATGCATTATGGAATCTCATAGGATATAAGATATAGGATATTATGGCATATCATTATGGGTGGCTTGTCACTAAAAAAAAAATAAGAGCTTTCATATTAAGAAGTTTCAACAATGCGAGTATATTGGTTTGTCAATGGTTATTATATAGGTGCAGTGATTTGGGTTCGAACGCACTAGGTCACTTATCTTAAAGGTTTTATAGACAACAAACATTTTTAGCTTCAATATATTCTTCAATTGAGCGAATATATATGTGTATGTTCAACTGAGAATCTATGCGGGCAATACAGTATGAGTATCCTGTCTTACCTCGCTGGAAGCCCTTTACGCAAATGAGATAACAGATGCGTTAATTATCTTGCGAGGAGTGATTTTTTTTAGATAATCTTTGAGCTGCCAGACTGCTTCCTGTTACTCTAAACGGAGCAGACCTGTCTTATAATATTATTACCATTGCGTACGTAGTGTGGAGTATCAGCGTCACACTTACCCTGTGAGTTTGCGGCTGGGGATTCTGCATTGCGAGAGGATAAGCTGCCGCAGCGGGGTCGGCAAAGCGGAACGTGTGTCCCTGAAGACCGCCGCGGACACCCGGATCCCCAGAACCCGGCTGTGGCTGTTGAGATCCCAGCTTCAGAATAGCTCCGTGCTGTAGAATGGTCGTGTCTCGGATACGTTGTCCGTTAAGATAGGTCTCGGCATTAAGGTCACCACTTGGTGTAATCGTGACAATTCCTCCTGTAGGAGATCCAAAGATAATGAGAGACTGAGCCACAAGCCTTATTCGAATATGCTTCATTTCAGCTTCGTTTTGCCTCAGTTAGCATCCTACACACACCAAGTAATCAAGCACATAACCAAAGAGACAAGCTGGAACTGCCAGTTTAAGGCACATTTTTACTCAATCTCTGTCCTTCCCCACGAGAGGTGGCCTGTACATACGGTGAGGTGCCTAGTAATTAAACTTCAGCGTATCTATCAAGCGACTAAGAACATACAAGAAAGCTCCAGCGTTACATTTTCAAGCTCTTACACAAGCTCATTCCGAATGGACGCCAATGAACCCTAAAGCTATCTAGCCTTTAAAAATCAAGCGCGTCCAACTAACTTCGCACCACTCCTCAATTTCGGATGAAGTTAAAAAAGCCAAACGTCACCACTACGCGTATTTACACACACAGTAAGAATAGCCTGTACTAATAGCGGAAAACAGAATATTGTATAGGCGTTCAGCTCGAGTAAAAGCTATTTTCCTATGTTACCTGCCTAACCTCTTTTGACTGAATGACACACTTTGGCTTAAAAGCGACCATAATTCTATTAGCTCACTGTTTTTTTCCGCAGCCAGTCAACTGCGGTTGGTTTCGACGGTTGCCTGCTGTCTGTAACAAAGCCCATACCTACAACGATGATCAGCTGCCACGACTTTGTCCAGCTTCGAGATTGAAGGTGTCATACGCCGGTTAAATCGAATATAAAAGCTAACAAGTAATATCTGCCGTTACTTGATCCTACTTAAGGCTCACTTCGCTGAGTTGGCAATCAATCGACGACATCAAGGACTACGAACGGAGAGCCCCAGCCTGACAAGCGGTGAGGAATATCGAGTAGACAGATGGTCGTAGGAAAGAGGTAGCAATCAATAAATTAAATAGTGTTGGATGTCGATCGAAACTTTCGTTATGATTACGATGACGAATAGGCATCGTGTGAGATGGCCTTACCAGCTTCGCTTATAATGGATCGTCCATTCGAAACTCTTTCTAATCAATTGGATTGCGCAATGACAATGACTAATAATAGACCATGCCAAACGCAACTGAGCGAGCAAGTAACGTTTAAGACCTGGTGGACGGACGACAATAGCTTTTGTATGCACCCGACAGTGCTCTTAACTAATAGTAGAAAAGAAGTCGATAACTGAGCTATTAGTTGACCAGAATACGAGTTCGGTGTTCGATTAGTCGTTGCGCAGATACGTGTCCTGGCGTCGATCGCTATTCTGCACCAGTACTTATATTTCAAATTGGGCATGACGGTGGTTGAATGTTACTTTGTCTAGGGCCTAACCCTGGCTAGGGTGCATATCAGTGGATGCAAAGAATGCCTGCAACAGGTAACCGCACATAAGACAGTAGAGTTCATTCCGTCCTTTGAGAACAATTTCACTGACAGGAAAAACCACTCACGTACCTCTTCAATGAGGAGCATCTCTACAAATAGCTAGATCAGAGTGAGAGGTGATAAACGACGTTTTTTTCGTTCAGCATTGCTCGACAACTGTAGATAGTCGTCTGCTGGATTTATTGCTTCGTAACACAATAGTACGCAAACAGCCTATATATTTGACGTATTAGTGTATACAATGTAATATAGAAGAGCTATTTATTAACATGTCTACCGCATGGCTGCACTGGATGAGTTGCCTTCGTTACGGGGAATGTAGATGTCATAAATTCACTTGAACAACATGTTCACATGTTTAAATGGAAATAGATGGTTTTATCATAAGCCTTGCTGGTTAGAGGCAGCCGTCCAAAATGTTACTTGTTATAGATAAAGAAAGACTGATCGTCCATTCTAGATGACGGTAATTTACTAATTATAACATGACGGACACGCAGTAAGAAGTTGGCGTTACTTGTTAAAGACAATAAAAGCCACTGCGAAGAATAGAAAATCCTGTTTCAGACGCTAGAATCTAAACGGAAATGCGGAGAATCAAAGGTGAAAAATAGTGTTGTTTATTTTTAAAAATAGCTGTTCGAAAAGCTTTCGATACAGACGCAACTTTGACATAACACCCACTTCTGTTCTTTTGAAGCTTATTTTTTCAAATACATTCTAGCCAGTTATTGTCTCAGGATAGCCAGCACATACGAATAACGGGAAATTATTTAGTAATATTTCGATTCACGACCAACGAAACATTTGCACGATATGGCCTTAGCCTATTTGGAGACGACTAGCTAGCGCTAAAGACATTTTTTTCTGGCACGAGGAGGCTCTAACATAACGCTCAACGAGACAATGTTCATAGGGTAGCTGACGTTGCCATGGGCTCTGTACCATTGGACTGTTCAGATCGACTCTTACGTGGACACTGGCTTCAATCTGTACCTTTCACGATTTCTAGCTACTATACCTCTCGATACCTATTCGCGCAGTTTAAGTTTTGTGCACAACTCCTTAGCAAGTTGGTATTCCGAACTCAGCGTTTCATACGAGCAAGTTGTTTGATGGATGAAATATATCGTTTAAACACCTATTGGCATCACACTAGTCCATAGTGTATAATCAACAACAAAGGCTCGTCTGTACCGTTATCAGTTATCCCCTAGTAATTGTGTTACAAATATTACCGACCACCGTAATAGGCGCAGCCACGAATTTACGTTCAGTTTCACGAAAACAATGATAACAACACGATAAATAAAGCTTTGCTTTAAGAAGTTGTCTTGCTTTTGACATAGTTAGTATAATTGATAGGAACGTATACGTATAGCGTCGTAGTGAGTTTTGTTGGACTGCAAACAATTTCTACATTTTCACAAATATAATATAAACTACGGAGTTCTGTATAATATAATAGCAATTTAATACTACAAGATAACTACCATTCGTATTATTGCACTGTGGCGGTATAAAAATACTTGATAATAGAGATTACGTCGCATCGAAACGAGCAAAGGCCACTTTTGACAATAAAATAGCAGTGCTACCGCATCGAATGACTAATAAACCCCTTCTAGTGACTCATGCCGTCATTATAGTAGCTTAGAACTAAAAAAAAAAAAGGCATATTTGGCTTCTGTTCCAGGACACATTTTCCACGCTATGGTATAATACAATACATGCCCAAACATTTCGATTATAGTTAACTGGCATGAAAGTAGCTTCTTTGCCTAACAGTAAATGCAGAAATCTCTAGCAGCATGAGCTCCCTGTAGTATTTTCTGCTATCATTTAGCTCGCACTAGTCTGAATTTTGAACAATGCCACTTAGCGTATGATAAGCCAGTACAAACATAGGCTACACGAAAAGTTACGAATGAGAACGAGTAAATATATTGTATCTATCACAAAATGCGGTAATATAATGAAATAACAATATGATTAACGTGCAATGTATAGTGACAACACTGGTAGGTCCTCACATTTGCTGTGTATGCGATCTACGGAATATAGTTGAGCGGTTAAACATGATTACTAATTGAAGAAAGAAGAATAAATATATACGTACCATGGGTGTGTGCAATAACACAGTGGCGGGGCAACAACCCAGGCACCACTAGACTCTGCGGATGAGGTGGCATAACGCCTCCCACACCACCAATTTCCGTTACGTCTGGTAGAAGTCTGTGAATAGCGCCCTCCTCCAGCCAAGAACCGTCTGTGATCAATGGATAAAATACACACAAATAAAAAAAAAATCGTCAATCCGGTGCACCTTGATGTGTTCGACTGACCTAAAAGAGGGATGATTAACCTGCTTAAAGGGTGATTAAGTCGAACCGCTTATATTTGTTAATAGCTTGCGTAGGATGGACAGATAGGACATAGATAGGATGCGGGACTCGTCGAACACGCAACGCTCAGAAAAGTTTTAGCAAATGCAATTGCCCGGTATTAGATCAGGGGGGTAACTGGACGTCGTTTGACTTTGGGAATCTGGCATGTGATGTGTCATTTATCCATATTTTGCTTATGCTTTCAATCTATGGCTAGTACTTAGGAAAAATGGTCAGCTTGCGTCCAATGCGTAGTAGTTACATGAAAATAAAGAAAAAGCTACTTGAGAAATGTCCGTTGACCGCAAGGTTTGTTTGAATGTCCTTCGAGGACTATGATAGTAACACTGCAGACTTCAGAGAAAAGCACCAAATGAGTGGAATCGCTTTCTCTATTGGCTTAGCTTCAAAGAACTAGATGCACGGCTCGTTCCATAAAGGCTGAGTGCGTAGGAAACATACGTTTGAATCTCAGCTCTATTCTCTGAACATCCAACATGACGTCCTTTACACTCACAAGGCCAGAACAGACTCGGGGAGTTACCAATGTAAATAACCTTTATAGATATACGATTTGCTCCTCAAAAAAGCTTACAAAGATCCATCTTTTTCATTTCATCAGCGTGAAGTCCCGCAGGCCGACAGTGTTACCCCCTTTGAAGTCCCCTTTTCAACACACAACGAGGTGATCCGAAGTAATCCAGGAAGACTTGACAAAATCGAGTAACATCACGGCTATGACATCTATTTCGTCGTGCAAAAATACCGTTCAGTCAGCTACAGAAATCATCGAGGTAACCATTTTCCGTTGCTTGTTCCATTACGCACTGTCACAGGGCAATCTGTCACACGAAACACCTGCACTAGCAACGACACGATCTATCCAGTCACTATTTTTCTGGCTAGCCTCCTTTTCTGCTGTAAACGACTCATCGCTTAATATCCATATTACTTAAACGATTCATCTGTTCGGCCCGTCGCAGCTAGTCGGCGAGATCACCGCACTGCATCTCCCATTCTCTTTACAAAAATATAAACACACTTCTATAACGTGGATTAGCTGAGTTGTGCAAACGCTCAGATTTTACTTCACAATAGCATAGGCCTACAGACGCCAAACGCCACGAATAACTACTATACCCCACCACTAGTCGAATCACACTCCTGTCTCCACAAGCACCATCCCTGCGCTCTGCGTTTCTATCAAAGGGCAGAGCCAGCGACCCCAAGCAATCGTGTAGCGGCCCGTTCACAGTCCACCACGGACTACTCCTTGTTTTGCGCCTCGTAACTTATCCCCCTTTCTTTTTTTTGGCCGATAAGAACGTTCTATCGGCCGGTCGTTGTTGGATGCACCGGGGCTTCTGGCAGGCCGACCCATATCGCGGGCTTCTGTTGCTTCTTGCTACTGCTACTGCTTGTCTCTGATTTGATCCTCTCGGATTCGCTGACGAAGAGAAACAGAGAAGTCAACGGACCTACGAATCGGTCATGTATACAGATCTGCATATTGACGGTGGCGTCAAAAGCCCCGCCGACGGTTGCCCGCCAACCTGGATATGAACGGCGAGCACCATGAACGACAGGAGCTTACGAGTAGCAAGCAATTGTTCCCAACTGCAGCAACAGCAACCTCGTTCGAGTGGCTATACTTCGCTAGACTAAACTGGGCATCCCAGTTGAGCTCGTCCGTGGGTTGTTTAGTTCAACTAACGTCTACTAGCAGCAGCAAGTAAATTCTGCACCATAGCGACCCGGACTTTTCCCGTGGTCACGCAGACGTTCGCAACCTGACACATTCACACTCAAATATATACACCCTCTCACCCACACACAACGATCCTAACATGAGTGCGTCCTAGCGCTTGCATACGCCCGTTTCTTGTCGTCTGACAAGCAAGCCGCTCCAGAAGCTGGCTTAGCCCCACCAGCTTTAGCGACTGCCATTCTCTGCTTGTGAAGTAGATCTCTCTCACAGATTTGATCAGCGGCAGCAGCAGTAGTTCTCTCAAATACTCAGAGATACACAGAGACGTTCATTGACACGTACAGCTCGCTCGGCTGGTGCTCGTCGACCGATCAGCCGATGCGACCATTCATTCCGTCAGCTTAACAAAACTTATCGACATATTATTCTACTGTTTCTATTCCGATATATAACCATATTGACGAGATCAGCGATAATAAATAGAGTCGCCTCACTATTAGGCCGAGCTGGACCGGGACTGCAAAGCAGCGACCCGACCCAGCGGCCGAACCTGTTGCAAATTGCCGGATGATCGATGACGAAACGCTCGAGTCTTTTTCACACCCCGCTCGCACGCACACGCATGCATATGTGTGTATTTACTTTTCCCTTTATAAACGTATCGATATAAGTAAAAGTCCAGCGCAGTCGCAGTCGGTACAAGCACAATCGACAAACTGACCTTCGAGCAGCGACGGCATCCCCGGTAGTCGTATCAACAACGGCAGCAGCCGAAGCGAAAGTGGAAGAGATGCGTCAACAGAAAGATCGTGCGCGCAAAGCTCACCAGGCGACAGTCCAACCAAGGCATAGAGCACGCTTACCTTTCCGGCTATGATTCTTTTGGGAATATTGCCATAGATATCTCTGACACTCACATCACTTTCATTGAATATGTATATAGAGATATATGATCTTCGCGAAGATCAGGCACCGCACGAGAAAGTAATGAAGCGGGCTCCGCGAAAGGACTGCCAGCTCAATCTGGCAAAGATCAACAAAACGTGCACACAATAGAGAAAAAAGCGAATGAATCACAGCTTTCTCTTCGTACTGGTAAACTGGTCATAAAGCGTGCGCCAAGTTCGCTAGTGGGTCTTTGAATTGACGGCGGGTGATGTTCCAAGTAAATCACGGAACAAACGTAATAGCTTTACTGATACGATGTTCTTTCTATCTCGATGCGAATATACCCACAACATAGAAAATATGATCAGTAAGATACTTAAATCTGGAAAATAACTTATAATGGCTACTCTATTTTCGTGTTCAGGCAAATACATAAGAAACAGTGTCACGTAGGAAATATCGTCAGTGAGTAGTCAGTGTTATCAATATGGCCTCTACAATATACATCGCTCGACCAAGCACTTACGCTTTCACGCCAAGAGGCGGCGCATTAACATTCCGGTCATCCATACTTACAGCTGCCGAACGATTGGAGCACTGCAATATTTATGTATACGATTCAGCGAAACGTTTCGAAATTATGCAATAGACTATTCGGAGATCAAGTCTGACTAATAGCGAAACGCCATCGTCGTTCGTCATCTTTAGGACAAAGGTCGGAGCTTTTCGAAATCACTCAATAAGCATTGGGCGGGTAAGAGCGCATAGTCTGCGTATACTGAAACAGGTACATAAGCTGGTTCGTTTATACCCATTGCTCAGGCAATAAAATTACTACAAACCCAAACCATTTGAATTTATTACGGACTGCTAGGTAACCTAAGTAAGAACTTAGGTAACATCACTTGAGGGTTAAATCCAGTGTCAATCAGGACATAGATCAAGGAAAAAATTAATACACAAGATCACAAAGCGAGCCCAGCAGCGAGTAGATAACTGCCATCCTTAAGCGCTGTAAATAAATTCGAATTCGTATGGAACTACTGGGATTCCTTGAAACAGGCTATTTCTGGTACGAGCTCTTAGGACATCCATCATGTAAAACGTTACGCCTTAAAAATTTGCAAAAGTTGTCCAACTATCAGGCTATAAATTGTCCCGCCGATGCTTAACCCCAATAGAATTTTTATTTCGTGACAAATATTCAACCGTTAACTGCTACTTGGCGCGTTGACTAATTGTCGAGTACAACGGCCTCTTGCGTACGAAAACTACCGCAACATCTATCTTATATTTTGTAGAAACCAGAGCTGTATATGCCAACCAAAATGTATTACAGTCGTGTACAGTACTACATCACATCTCGTACCTGGTGAAGGCCGAATTTCCTGCAGGTAAGGTAACCTGTCGAGCGTGACCCCTTCAGGCAGCTGGGCCGGTTTCGGTTTCTTCTTTCGTTTGCGCGGCTGATAGTCGTGCGGGCGACGTCGAATATGAAAAGAGAGCGTACCCTTATTTCGATTGTGCTGACGCATAATCGCCAAGGGGCAGTCGTCGTCGTCGAGAATATATTCCTTGACTAACGATGAGTCTGCAGGTAGGGAACCATCATTCGGACCGCCATTCGGAGACTGAGCCACAAACACCTGCCAAATTAAGATAACCTATTAGTAGAATAGGGAAGATCGAACAATAACTTAATCGTTTCCCTAGAAACCTCTAATCATATATACGGTCACCTACCTATCACGAAGTACCAACACGATTACATTGCGCTCATGAGAAATGAATCGCCTATGAGACCATATAAAGTTAGACCTCACAGTTATTATCAGTGATTTGTACGTTGATACCAATATAATTCAACCTAATCATTTTTCAGTTCAAGTTTCTCAGTTCATATCTTTGGCTTCGATCCCACGTCATTGGATCACACGATGTACAGCTGGCTAGCCTTCCGTGGATGACTTCCGACGACCGAGCATGTTGGTGGAAATAAGACAGCCACAATTGTGGCCGCCCCATCGCTGGCTGATAGTCGTAGTTTACGACGATAGACGTTAAACAGTGAGACGGGTGTACTAGTCATTTGGTGACCTAACTAAACTCCAGCATACAACGTTGCGCAGTACCTGAACGAGGCAGTATTTCGATGCAGCAGCCTCGTCGCACTCCAGTGCGTACTTGTCAAGCATCTCTCGAACGACATGAGCCGCTGAGTCTTTGATCGATAGTAACAGAGTCTTATACGGCACATCGCGGTTCAGGCTTTCACCAAAAATACGAAGAGTTCCTCCAGCGCCTGGTCCCCCGCCTGCACCAGGAGCAGTGCCTGCCGTGCCTGGCCTTGAGGCCAATGCGGCACTTTCCTCTCGAAATTGTTGAAGTTTCCGTTCGAGTTTTTGCTGACGACGACGACGCATAACAGCCTCTGAAATATGGAAAAAATGAAAATCAACGACATCGAAAAATATGCGCCCAAGTGGATTTTTTGTTAAACAGGCTCACACCCCCCGTGGGCGCGATTATTAGATGACCAACAGCAAAGACGGCCTTTGCGTGCGTTACTGAATTGAGCCGAGGACTCTACGTAATTAGAATATAACAAAACAACAGTAGTAAGAAATAGTAACAGTGGTTACTCCGCAGAAGTCGGAAATGAAGGTCTACATGTCAAAAAATTTCCGAAGCTAACTGAACAGGTCCTGTTCGGAATTGCCTCCATCCTCGAGTATTATAGCCTCGAATCCGATATTAAGTACAATTAATTATTATTTATTAAAATTTTATTAGAATGGATTGGCGCGCGCTATGGAAGCTTTCCAATATCGTTTTAATTTTGTCCTGCAATCAAGTTTACTGAACGTATTGTTAAAGATAAGTGTTTTGTCTCCATATTTTCAGTATTTGAAAAATGGATCAATACGCCCCATTGCGCATTGTAGTACAGATACAAAAGACAACCTATCACGATAGTACTACAGCGGCCAGGCATTTGTGTGCGGTTTGCTTTTCAATGAGAAAAGCAGGCTCCATAATTACCGTATGTAATTGCTGACTGAAGTCCGATTGCAATGGTGTTTCCAAATAAATACAAGTAGGAACTGTGGTTTTAACGTAAAGGGCATATGCAAATACGTTCATGTTTCGTAATAGGCGTGCTTAAACCGAATGCCAAGTAAGGCCCCACATAATTCTTTATTAATTTGAAGAGTTGCTCTGCCGTACAAATCTTTAATATAAATACTTTATTATTACAAATTGCTCATCGATAAAGGCTTTACAACAGTACGTCTTTCTAGACTTTCTAACTCAAATGGCCTCTTTTGCTATTTGCCACAACCTGGCACCAGCGAAATCGAACTCAGTAACTAGCGGCAGTGGTACAACTGCATAGGTCAGAAACAAACTTACTAGTAAGTTAATATGACGCGTATTATCAAAGTGACAGTATTGGTATGATTTGCTTGTATATCTGGCCGCGTAAGACAAATCAATCGCAACAAAAGGATCAACAACGATCGTATAATAGACGGTATCGAAGAGACTTAAAATCTTTAATTTGCTAATGAAAGTGGCCCGCCCAATAAATTATTGCCAAGAATCGAAACGGATGTTACACAGTTAACAATCGTATCGGCGCAAGTTAATATACAGGGTACTACACTTAAACTTGGGCAAGCACTGGCGGGCTGTGTGTCTTAATGAGCATATGTACCACACGAAAGTCAGTCCATGCGACAGCAAAACAGCGAACTCGTCAGTCGAATAACAGTGCTTCATTTTCGGAATTTGAGCTAAAGTCAGCAGTTATTCAGCCTTTATGTGCCTGACAAATGATTATAAACTTCCTTGATAATTCCAGATCGACAGCGCACGGCGTCATAAGTGAACATACGCCTGCGGAAGAAGCACAAGCAAGCTTCAGCACAGCAGAGCGGAAACCCGACGAAAAGTAAGAGTAGGGTGAACCTTAAGATAAATCGCTACCGCCCAAAAGATCATGCTGCTTCGAACGGCGTATTAATAAAGAAACTTAGTGAGAGTGGGCGTCCGATGTCTCGGATTCTTTACAAAGGTTTCGGGTACACGTCATATGCTGTAAAACTGAGACAAATGTTTTCTGAATAGCATAGAATCAACAAGTTGGATCATTATTTTTTGCTATTCGCTTCTCTCAAGGATGAAGTCGCAGGTCGTCTTCAATTTTCCTCTTAAGGCAATTTTGTTCGTTTTAGACACAAAAATGAAGTGAGGAAATTATCATTGTCCTACAACCCAGGGAATATACCTACCGCGGGCGAAAATAAATCCTTGGCTAAAGTTCATTGCGGCGTCCGGTAAAGAAGACGTCATGCCACCATACCCCCTTCAGAAAGGCGGGCGCATTACTGAACAAGTTATACGTTGTGCCACAGTAGATGGCTAAAACTCCTGAAGAACCAGCATACGTCTTTGAACAAGCTGGTGCACAGGGTCATACAAGCCCATTAGTGCAGGGTTGGCTGGCTGAAAATGCAAGCATGTTCTGGGGCGAGCACATGTGTGCGCCGAATAGCCCAGATTTGAAGCTGTCGTCCTACCCGTTCACTACGTTAGTATGCAGCGTTATTGAGTAAGAGTCCAGCAAGCCTCTATGGCACGGTCGTATTGACTTGCTCACTTGCTGCATTAGGACGAGAATTGCAAAGGGTATGGTTGAAACGAGCCTGTGAGCGGTTTCGGCCCAAGTTGAAGCTGTAACCGCAATAATTAGTGACTACAGTAAATAAACATGACCATAAAGATATTTAAAGCACTTGAAAATAAATTTCGTCGTAATATCTGTTTAGATACTGCGCTAGAAAAAAGCCCCAGGAGCTTTATGTATATATATGTATAGTGTGAGAACAAACCAAAATGAATACGGAAAGAAATCCTGAGCGGGATGTTGTTGTTTCCCAAAGTTCGCTATCACCCGAACAGCAAAAAGGTGTACAAGCAATCTCGTGCCATTCAACCGTACAGATTTTACAGCAACGCTGATATATTATGGCGGACGATTAAATACATGCTAATCTATTTGACTAGGAGATTTTTTCAGCTGTTATTACTGCTGTTGTGAAAGGCACCAGGCTAACGATTTATTCCAAACGAATCATTTGCGTCCTACAGTAGACATTGTGAACCGAAACAATTACGCTTTACGTTTAAAAATGATCTCGCCAAGTAAATATCAAATGCTCTGTACCTGTCTTCTTTTGGTGTTCATTGCCCCATGATTTTTGGCGTTGTCGCAGTCAATGATAAACCCTGTATAAGCCCCGTAAGGGCTGTACCTGTCTATGTTCTTAGCTTAACTATCATATAATAGTGAAAAAAGCACTATGCGTTAAGTGGAGTTTGCTAGCTACTTAGCTCTGGGAAATTTAAATTCAATATTTAATTGGCGTGCTCAGTGACGGGACGTTTTGTCTATAACAATGACTGGGTGAATAGATAATTAATAAGTATAACGTGGGTTTTAGTTGTGGTAATTTTCGACCACGACTGGCTAAGGAATCACCCGAAGCATTCATGAAGCCTGCTCATTGTAATCGCTTACTTCAAAAAAATTATAGAATAAAACAACGTGGCAAGTTCATTACATTGGTTGGCGAAAGAGAACATCATGTAATGGAGCAGTTTCAGAAACTTGCCCTTAAAAAACGATGCCGTTAGCTGTTGTCCTTATAGAGTATAAATGAAATAGCCGGGTATGTTAGGTCTGCAAGTTCGTTCGGCACGGGAATCTAATATCGGTACATGCTCCGGCTCCAGCTTTCGGGGTTTCATACTCATGAATTTTCGTCCAGTAATAAAGTTGTTACAACCGTATTTCAGTTACTATTCGTCGTAAAGGTATGTTTGCGGAGCACTTCAACTTCTCTAGGACAGTATCTAAACAAAAAAAGGAGACAGATATTACGACGAAGCTTATTTTCAAGTGCTATAAATGTTATTCTCGATGGTCATGTTTATCCAGTGTAGTCACTAATTATTGCGATTACGATAGAGCTTCGATTTAGGTCCGAAACTGCTCACAGGCTCGTTTCAACTACTCCCTTTGCAATTCTCGTCCTAATGCAGCTATGAGTGAGCGACTCGGTGTGACCATGCTGTCGAGACTTCGTGGACTCTCACTCAGTGACGCTCCATATGTACACAGTAAACGGGTAGGACGACAGCTTCAAATGTGGGCCCCAGAACATGCTTGCATTTTCAGCCAGCCAATCCTGCACCAATGGGCTCGTATGACCCTGTGCGCCATCTTGTTCAAAGACGCATGCTCTTCCTTGTTTTAGCTATTTACTGTTGCTTAACCGTTTGTAGAATACGCGAATAAACTTCTTTAAAGATGCGTTCGCCTTTCTGGAAGTAGTCTATTGGCATCCCGTATCCTTCGCTGGATACCATACTTACAACATGAACTTCGGTCGAAAACTTGGATTTACCCATAACAGGCGCATACCCTGGATCTCCGGCCAACTAGCTACCTTTTCGGCGATTCATTTGTGTATCGAAAATAAAAAAATCCCGCATGAAAGACAAATCGAAAATAACCATTCTAGAACAAACAACATCGATCAAATTCCTTGGTTTTATTATTTGCAGAAAGCATTTGACCTTTATGACATATGATGTGTACCTGGAGTTTTCGTGAACAATCCATCGTGCCATCGAACGCGCGCTCATATCAAAGTTTTTCAGTAACCTCCGCAACGTTAGATCCGGAAGGGTCATTAGAAATGCGCTCTTGGACGGCAGCGATTAAGTTTGAAATCAACGCTGTTATTTCTATCTTTGAGTTTCCATTGTACGGCGCTGAAACCCACTGGTGCTTTTTTCTGCAACTGCATACCCATTTGTGCTGCTACACACCGTTGATTTACGACGACCCAAAAAGCTTATAATCTCGATGGAGGCTGGCTTTCGTCTGCGGTCAGGAGTAACGTACGACCCCATGGAAAACAGCCGGTAAAGTTTGTCCCCATTTAAGTGTGGTGCCCGGTACATTTCCAATTAGTGATGGTAACCCAATTAAAGATCGAGCCATCCAAACTGACTCCGATAGCACCAATGGTAGTTCGGTTCAGCACCGAATCGGATTTTTCCAAAAGATACCAGGAAAGACGATATCAGTGGAATACGCCGCTGAGGTCAAAAGTGTTGATGAATTTTAGGCCAAAAAAACACGAAGGTATCGCTTATCTCCTAAAATGACATACTTTTTACAATGTGCTCTCATGACTAGTGTATTAACCATCACTAGGATATCTATTAATAGAAAAATATAAGAAGAAGGCCTCTGCAAGAAATTCGATAGATTTTCTATTCAGTTTGTGTAGAATAACACGAAAAAAGATTTACTGTTGGGTCAAGCTGTTCGATTGAAGACCAGTCGCATTTTCAAGATTACGCCAGACTGATGTATAACATACGGGCAAAAATCTTCTCACATAAATGTCAAAATTTCTTCAAATGTCTTACTCATTCGTTCTTATCGCTGCGCAACGAAAGTATTATCCGTTTACGCTACGAGCCATAGGAATATCCGAAGACCAAGCTATGTTGTACATCATGCCTTCGTACTTCACACTCTGTACTTTGTCCCCTTGTCTCGACATGCGAATCACCCATCGCGCATTCACCAGATACGAGGCTGGTTAGTAATTTCAACCCATTTTCGTTTGGCAATTAGAAAACACTAACGCTGGTCTTTCGTAGACATCTAAAATTAGAATTTTCAAGTTTTACGTTCGGAGCTACCGTGAGACGTTATCGCATTGAAGGAGGCCTGCAGTGCCCTCACACGACGAGGATTGCTTCCACTTCCGCTATCTAACACCGCAGACATATAGCTAAGGTTTGGTTCGGAACGTTTTTTGGGTAACTGTAGCCACTATTCATGTTGATATTTGGTTGCACAGATGGTAAATCCAACTTTACTGAGGGTAAACAACGCGCCACAGCTACATGTCCGTATAGTGGTATCGAGATGACTGCTAGCATAGCTAATACTTACTTAATACACTTGTTCTTGTTTCAAAATCACCTTGTATAGCCTGTCATGACACCGTGCACTGTCAGCAATTAATCATCACATTAATGCTGCACACATGAAATCACACCGGCACAAATCCGATTTAACGTCAGCGTTAATACTTTAGAAAAACATAACGTAGTTTCAGCTAGAAACCCATTTGTTTTGCTGCTATTGTTCAGACGATTACGATATGCATATGTGCACGCACAGTCTTCAACATAAGCTGACATACAGAATCGGATTTCTTCATTCGCACATCGTCAGCTCTGCGTTATCCAGTGCTGCGTAGATCCACCGCAGCCACGCCACTTCATGTTCCGTTGCGTTTTCCACTGGCGATAAGCATCGCTTTGACGACCGCCTCAACAAAAGACTGGCGGACGTTCGGATCGGCTGCCGACGGAAGAATCAGATCGAGCTGTAACAACCACCTTTCTGGATAAAGCGATACTGGTGTCCGTAGTTGAGCGGCTAAACGGCAGGCGATTTACGCTCAGGTAGATTGCAGCCCGGAAAATAGTTGCTGTAATTTAATGGTAGAAGCAGTACCCCAAAACACAGAGCATTTTCTGCCTCTGGCAATCGTTGTGTTTTTGGTACGGCTGACCCAGCCCGGCCTGTTTCACTGGTCTTCAATAGAAACGATTTCTGTATTCCGTGTCTTCAACTGTCTGATCAGAACCAGCCAGTCGCGCATCTCGCGACGCTTCGTCGTCTGTTGACGTTCTTCCTCCCGTAGCAACCAGCGCCACCTTTCCTGCATTGTTGGTGAACGTACGTCGAGTAATCGACTTGTCAAAGGCGAATCCGGCCTGCCCGCGGCTCTTGCCTGGTTTGTCCGTATTGGTCGCCACCTACCCTCTCCACAACGCCGCGACGGAAATTAACAAACTAAGTATATGATGAAGGCAAGTGAACGTTTGTGTAACTATCTGTGCATACACAATTCCATTATTCCAGTAACAATAAGAGCAAGTTGATACTTGGCTGGTTGAATCCGTGCCTAGAGGACATGTGGCAACGGAGACATTGTTACCATTTAGGACCGTAAAGGACTATTTAGGCGGCAAAAAGCATTAGACCAATACAAATAACTCTGCTTTTTTGTTTCAATTCCAGTTTCATTTGAATCGTATCTTCAGTCGAGTGTCGTCGGACTTAAATTTAGATTTAAACATTCAATCTCTGATTCAATTCGTTGTTGTTTTCGCTCATCGTCAAGACGTCGACGACGATAAAGGCCATGGACAGATTGATAGACTTGGCAGTTCTATACGATGCCCAGGGTCAGTGTGCTTCGGGAGACATGTTTTTATTTACTAGAGAGACGACAAGATAGGATACCGAAGCTACGTTATTATATAGCCGCGGTTCGTTTTGCAGTCATCCAGTTTTGCAATCATATAGTGGGATGGGCTTTTAGACAGACAATGCTGTGTCCACCAAAGGTGTGGTCTGCAAAACTAGCCAACGTAATCACAGAATTTCTCTTTTCGAAGCAATAGCAGCTTCTCGCACCATGTAGCTTTCGAGATACCACTCAGCTTACTTGCGCGTTGCGGCCTTGAGGCGTTCACTGAAGATAGATTATATAGTCAGGGCGCACAGACACTGGCGTGCAGCTAATGCAGATGGCATTACACTAGCCAGACAGCAACTAGCGACCTTGGCTACCAAACCGGGCCACCTGAAGGTTTGCATAGCTCCACCTTGACCCTTTGCTGTATTTAATAGCAAACTGCTCTTTATTTTCGTCAGGACACAACAACGAAGATTCCACAACGAATACAGATCGCTTCTTATTGAGTCTAAGTCTCGCTCATCTCTAGTGTATTTCTCAAAATAGGGCATCGTTATTAGAAGTATTAACACAACCCACATCTCTGTCGAGAATCCGTGACGAGATAAAGGAAATGTAATTTTTTTCAAAACCCACAAACACTGACCAGTCCCGTCAGACGTTGGGACCAAGTCTTCGCAGGTAATCCAAAGCATTTCAATGAATTAGTTTGCAAGGATCAACTGCACCTTATTTCTGGTGGGATCTTAGCATAGGCAAACCAATACACACACAGACATAGAGGATTATCTACTTCGGAAAGTATTACGAAATGGATCAAACCGGATTGGATTGGGTCTAGAGAGGAGCCAGGAATTTAAGCCAGCTGCGAAGGTAGTCAATGTTCACACTGGAAAATGTCTCGCAAATAGCAGTCTACCACAACTTCGTACGACCCCTTTCATTGCTTGGCTCATTCTCCAAGCCAATCTTTTCCTTGTTTGTTTTTGGATCGTCGTTGTGGCAATGGCGGCCCAGTGACTCCCGATCGACCGGAAACAGTTACTGGATTCGACAGCATTGTTGAACGCTGTCTCACCAACCAACAAGATCCTTCTTTGACTGAAAAGACTTCTACCTCATTCAGAATCTGCCGGATCTATCCGCTTGGAAACCCTACGACAAGATTAACAAATTGTCATTTGAAATTAGGCATAAGTGCCTTGTCCCAGATACATAGCGATCCAAGCAGACATAGAACTTCCAATATTATAGCCAGGCCACTGTTTTATTGAGGATCAGAGAGATAAGCATGAACTCGCCCCATCCAGCCGAAAGATTTTTGCTTAAGAAAGAAGGCACTTGAGGCGAACACGCCCGCCGCATTTTATGTTTTCGGTGTCCAAAAATATCTGGTGTTTGCCAATATTACAAGTACGCTGCACTGGTGCTTTATTGAAATATCACACATTTCTACATTTAGCTACGATTTGATATTATACCTCGCTATTATTTCGATCGATATTCAAAGTCGATCGATAGTATCATGTTTGTGACACGGGACCACTTGCAGAAATCTCACGGCTTCGATAGTAATTGCGCCATTATCTCGTTCCATAAACGAATAAAAAAAGGCACTAACTTATTGTTGAAGTTAATACCTTTTTTTTTGTTGTAATTGTTGGTAAATTTTTTTGCGCGAGTTCGGTCCAGTTCAAACGTTCTTTGTTTTTCTAATGTTTCTTCATTGAAAAGTTGAAAAGTTCATTGCTATAAAACAATGACTGGTGTTTTTAGATACTTTTAAACGACAATGATTCTAATTGCGACCGGGTCTTGTTTGTTAACTTTGAGCTAACTTTGATTGATAAAATCGTCAGGCCTTAAAGCGTTCTGTACGAGAGCTCACGGCAGGACACCTGACAGGAGGCAGGCAGACCTATCGAAACGGCCCCGTCTCGTTCCTATTATAGATAAATATTCAAAACTGATCCGTATGCTATTATAACTTACCTGGATTGGAGATGCTCCTCGTGAAGCTGGTTTCAGGCATTTCTGAGTACAGTTTGTGGGCAATCTTCTCCTCACCACCTTCGGTCCTGAGCTGGGCAGCGGACTCGGCCTGTTTCTTGGCCAGTTTTTTCTTCTCGCGCTTTGACATACGCTTTTTTTGAAATCGTAATGAATTCTCCTCATTAAGACGAGGTAGCTGTAATGATCAACAAAATAGTAGATGTTAGATAACTGCTATGATATCAGTGCATTTACTTCACAAACGGTGAGAATCATTAGTTATATAGATAATATACGTCTGCTGTTATATTTGTGAATAAATAAAACTACAATTATTGTTTCATCAAACAAGTCAAAACTTTACAACTTACTACTAAAATTATTTATGTGCACATTTTCCATTGTACTTAAGTTAGTTCAATGAGCTACGGTATTGAAGTATCTCTTTTCCTAAAAGTGCTCAGAACCCTGGAGCATCTTTATATTTTCCGAGGTTCGCTGTACGTCGATGGTTTGAGGACGTCACGAGATAAACACCGCTAGAAAGTTATTTTAGAGTTGATCAATTCGATTTGATTACAGTATGCCATAAATTGATCGTCTCTGCTGGCGCGTGCTTACGTCTTAGCTCGAAATAATGATAAAACATAAGGTTCAGACGCCCAAACATATATATGGATAGCTTATTTTTAGCGGGGTGAGAGTTTGCTCCGATCCTGTTGTCGTTGATTTTTTTTTAACAGATGTTATTGTTGTCGGTTATCGATAAATTCAAAATTGACTCGTCAAACGAGACAAAAATAGCTGGGTAGGACGCTCCTTTTTTTGTCTACAGATAGAGACAGCAAAGCCAACTAATTAGGCTTAATCACTTAGAGGCCAGTGATCTACTCGGAAGACATTTTCTTATGTGATATACATCGTTCTATGAATAAAATAGGAAGTTCACTAATAACGTATATGTAATAAGACGTGATGCGCATCTACCTATTGTGTACAAGGGCAGCCAACAATCTGCCTTCATCAGATACGCTTAGGCAGTCTTTCATTTAGGGATACAACTTCAGATTCGCTCTACCCGCAGATTTTCGACCACTTATATACTAATAACTGATAGGGAACTTCAGCGACAAGATCTTAATGACGATAATTAATAGCGATGACATACAAAAGGAACCAAGCTACTTTCTGGTTCAGTTTATCTGATTTATTTGATTTTTACAAACGGCCGGTAAGTAAAGTGATTTTTGGCCATTGGTATAGCGGACGACTGTAAAAACAGATCTGACAACGACCAAACGTTGGTGATGTCGTCCTAGGCAAGGATGTGGCATCCCGCAGTAACAGCTATGTATACGCTTTTATGCCTATATTCAATAGATAAGTCCTTTGTTGCCCTTATTTGAAAATATCATAAATGTGCAAACTCGAGCTATAGTCAAGTGTCTCTAACAAGAAGCAATATTCTTTCTACTTTCATACTTTGTTTGCAAAACATCGGACAATTTCGTGACAAGTGTTTGCCAATAGCTACGAAATGAAAGTTAATCACAGGGGCAAATGTGGTTATTATCTCTTAAATCGCTTCATACTCACCTATTCAGTTTGCATGACGTTCAAGAACAATTATAATAGGGCCCAGCCATCTGTGACCCGTTTCCGTACCCAGCAGGCATCGAAAATAACTAGACCAGTCATTGTAACATTACCTTGATTCGTTTCTGTGCATTTGTATGATCTTTTTTCGACGCTGCTGTTTTGATAGCAAAAATTGATTCTCGGTATCACAGCTTGACAAGGTGGCAAACTTTGGGTAAAAAGTATGGATACATTTAGTAATCAACGGAACGATGATATCAATTCAACGAGACGTGTTCTGTGAGGCAAAATAAAACAACAATATATTATTTTTATTTATTAAGTAGAATTATTATTAAGTAGACCTCAGAGTGTAAATATGCCTTTATCAATCACGATGTTTTTGTCGAACAAATTGTGGGGATGTGCGTCTGTAATTATTAATGGCATTTATAATAAGCAATACCTCATAACAGTCATAATGATGACTATTGTTATCGATTTTTCTCGGTAACATATAGCTATAGCCAAAGGAGCCCGACAACCGCAAGCTTGTATGATCACGTAAGTCTCCTGCCACTAACCCAAGATAGCAAACCACAACACGAATACTGAAAATTTTGTAATTGACGGCAGTATCTGGTAGGCGTCAATCTCATTGTGAAAAAAATCCGCTGAGAAGAGCAGCCATTGATGTCACCCGTATTTATCTCCTTTCATGCTCCTCTATACACGTAATATCTACGTTCCGATAATTTCGCCGTCATCAATGCCTATTCCACAATACGCCACAGCAGGGTTTCGGATCCACAGCTAGTAACGACCTACATAAAAAGCTAGCCAGTCCTATACGCCAAAACAATTCTATAATATGACACAAAGCGAACTCGACGCACTCGGGAACACAGGCTGGATGCATGCAGCGGCAGATAGGCAACATTCGATAACGATTTCGTGAATCGTTCAGCTCGTGCCCGAATGCACGAGAACCGAAATCCAATATTAGAAAGTGCATCCCACGAAACGGAGCAATCGCGAACCACTCTCCGGCCAACAACAAATACTAACATTATCGACAACAACAGCAAATGTAGGTTGCGCCGTCAACTCAAGCTGCCTCCACTGGCAAATCTTCTAAAGTCTTCTCTCTGTATTATATGTGTAATTGCTATTACTACAATGAAAACGCAGCTGCATATGTATATATATGTCTAGTGACTGCTCGCCATCGGCGAACAGAAGCAATAGCAGGAAAACAATACCTAAGACGGCAACATCCTCGGTGACACGTTAACTGAAAGCGTTTCCACGCCTTCCTCGTGCTTGCTACCTCGGCCATCTAGACCTGCAGCAACGCTGTTCTGTACGCCGATGCGGCAATTTTTGCCGTAAGCAATGCGGCAGGCCATAGCAGTGACGAGACGACGGCCGGATGGATCGACTGCTTGCTTACACAGAGTGACGGAAAATTGGCAGTTGTCAGCAGGAGATAATAAGGGTATTGTTGTTTAGCAATTTGAATCAACGCCGTTTCTTCCTTTAGGCGTTAAGCGACGAAAATGGCCAGACTAAATTTGGCGGAAGTATTGTTTTGCCATAGCGTAACACTGGCACACGGGCGTCAGAAACAAACTTGCGACAATAAGGCTACTGCATCGTGACATTTGTACAAGCCTTTGTCGCGTCCCGTTTATGAAGCCGCCAGCTGAACGCCGGCAGAAATAACAATGGTTCGATAAAGTATACGCTAAACCACACAGTATCCACCTAAGCACTCGTTAGCAAATGGCGACTACTCATTTTTTTAATCCGAGAAGCAAGCAAATCGCGAAAATGGGGGAAATCTACATTGGGTACCGTTACGTCGAACGGTCGATGGCGTTTGCGAACGCGGGGAAACGTATCCTTGAACGATAGCTAGTATCTTTGAAGGATTATTAATAAAGGAATTATGCTAATGAAAATACAAATCAATGTACGCTGTGTTAATGCATGTAGAAGAAGCACGCACTAACGATTCGGGCGTCCGGGCGGCAGTGAGTTACTCGTAGGTCCAAGCCAGCTTTATTACTTCCTCGCACATAAGCCATGTAATACATACCTATGCACGGGTCCCTACAGCGGACGCAATCTAATAGTATTCTGTTGCTATTTTCACTAGTGTAGAAAACAAGTTCAGACCGGATCAGTTTCAAACTGGTTTCTAAACATGAAACTCGTGCCCGTTGTTCTCGTACCCTGTTGCAGTATGTCTCTTCCTTCAGCCCCATTGTAATTTCCTCACCGTAGTTTTCCCACACAGTAAATCGTATATTTTCGTAATCTAGTGCACTGCTCGGATCATTCAGTTACTTCGCTTCATAATTTCAGCACTTCGATTGCGTAGCTTCAGTAAATTCGCCACCTTACTTCAGTCATTCAATTGCGATGACTTAAATAGTCCGCTATCCTCTACTGGCCATCGCGTGACCTAACAGAAGGTGTCTTATAGGCCTCCGTTAATTATTTTGTGTTCCTATTGCAATGAGCCTGTTCCCGGTGTTACCGTTAACCCATTTGCTGCGTGGAGTTGTTCCGCTCCTCAGGCGGAATTGGCTTGAGCTTTACATGTAAATACCACGTTATACGGCCCAAAAAACTAGACATCTCGACGATGCACAGACGCCTATACCCTTCAAGAAGGCTTTAACCGTCTCTCAAACGAATCTCACACAAGACCATACTATGTAAAACGGTATAGCGTAGTAGAATTTAACGAATGGCTCACTGTTTGGTCAGTTGTCAAAAAATACTTCAAAGGAAAGTCATCACATAAAAGTTATTGCGTACGCCACAAGACAGGTAAACATTGAGAATTGATCGCCTTTATTTAAAGGCGATCAATTCTCAGTGTTTAGCTCTTAGTTTCTTTGTTCGGCTGGAGAGCGCAAAAAACTGAAATACAAAATGGTTTTGTTAGCTTGCGCAGAGCACGGTTTTTTCCTAAACATTAATTCAATAAGGCTATTAGACAGAATGCGCTCTCAAGCAGAGGCATACGACCTCGTCGGGCTTCAATGTCGGGCGATTCAATGAACATACGCTCGTATTTGGACGCGCAACCGCGTATTAGATGCATATCACGATCGCTGTGAATGATTTCGACGATCCTATGGCACGTGTGGGTCAGAATAAATATATCCATGCATGCCGAAGGGTCAGCTTTACCTTAATAACCTATCCTTACCTATACCTCAGGAACGCCCCAGGGATGTGTATGGCTAATGCGCAGCGATAGAATAGACCTCCATATTTAGTTTTCCCTTTCTTAGCTGTAAAAAAATATTTCACAGCATTGACCAAACTAATAATGGTTCACGCCCAAGTTTTGTTCTTCTGAAAAAATCATAGATTCGATCGGTATTTATAACCGCGCCATTGTGCAAATGTCCCATTGATTCTATGAGCCCTATGAGTCTTTGCCAATTAACCCTTTTAAGCGATATATAATACAGCTGATCAATAAACTAGCTAAACGGTCAGTTCTTCATGGATTTAGCCACAGATATACATGCTACTGTACTTACGTGACTTTTGGCATCCATCCGCCGAAAAAGAAACCGGCCTTCGCGGTCATGTTCGTGCCATCGGAGCTGCACGATGAGAGGTCGCTCTTCATCGGCGAGTTTTCGCTCTTCACCATTTTCATGGATCTCGTAAAGAGCATAGCGTGAATAGTCTGGCGCGCTGAGCATTCCGATATCTGGTCGGAATTTCTCGATGAGTGTCGGTACGACGTCGCGCACCCAGGCTGAACTTGCTACGCGTAAACATTTCGTAACCACTCGCTGGTCCGAATCTTGAAAGTAGAAACGCATCACGCCATGGAATTCGAGGTCCTATTAACGAAGGAAACACGAACGTAAGGTTAAACAGGTTGGCCTGCTAACGAACACTGTCGGCATTACTACTACTATTATAAAGAAGATTCAACTTAACAGCGCAACCATTGATAGGCATTGCTCGTCTTCTGAGGAGGGGAATATAGCGGCGTTGCTTTTGTAATAGGCGAATTATGATAAAAATACCATGAGGTAGTTTTGTGTTTAGTGAACACAAGGAATGTAACCAGCTTCGAACGTCGCAATCGGAAGATCGCGAAATCTTCATGTTAACAGCATCAGTATATATTTTGACGTGTGAATGAGCTACTGATAAACAAACGCATTGCGTCTGATCATCGCTATTATAAAGCACTCGACGTTCGATTCGCCCATTACAAGCCGACCGAAATTTGGCGCGAATGTGTGAAACTTTGAATGTCACCTAGTGGCTACATTCACACGTTATATCAAAACAAACAAAAACATAATTGAAAAACAAACTGAACAAGCTGAACTGTGACGAACGGGACATTACATAATAATAGTTTTACGTGTTGCTATTTATTCCACCCCTTCGTCCACATGCTTTTCACCGAACACTGAATCAACGGCGGTTACAATAGACATCCGTACCGACACTGCCTCGATCGTCGGTGACCGAAAAGCGGTCGCCGATAAGCCAAACGCTTTGAACCTCTAATTGACGTAACTTGTTTGGTAAACCTTAATTTCATAGGCTTGTTTATCCAGCGTTTTCGCCACATGGTATTCCTTCCATCGACATCATCGCATTCCCACTTATTCGACAAATTTAACCGAACGTATTTGCCGATAATGTCGTATTATCTAAAAGCGTGAACGGTGACACTGGTGGTAGGCAGCAATGCTGACACACGAAAAAAAGTTCAACTTAATGTAAGCCTCGACGTGTATGCCAACTGGTCTATTAGTTAACTGGAAATCTCTGAAGCGTTCTGTATTCCTCAGTGGTCTGCTGTCGCTCCTTGTGCCGCATGGCGAAGGCCTGATATTCCTGCATATTGCCCCTTCGTGTAAACGACAACGGAACAATCAGCAGGACGTTCGTCTATTCAGGATTACAGACTTTCATAGCAGTGGCGCCGGCAGCAGCAAATGACTTACGGACTCTATAAAAGGCGCTCGCAATCGCCATATATTTTAAACAGCGAGATATAATTGCTTTTTGTTTTTCTAATTACCTGGTAAAAATGTTCATTATTATTATTAATTGCTATAGAATTATTGCGATAGTGGTCGGACAAAGGCCCCACCTCGATGTGATATCTTTCATCATACGTAACAAAAGAATACCGATATCGCGTGCTTTATATAGTAGAACGATGCTATAACAACAACAGTGTAACTAAAATTGGAAACTGATTGATCTTACGGTTCCAAATCGAAGACGCCAACTTCAGACGACATGCTGCTGACGATACCCGTTACACGTATTAATAATGAAACGAGATCAGACGCAGACATTTCCGACCAGTCACACATTCAATTAAGCTGAGTCACAAATACAAGCGGGACAATAATTTATATAATAATACAAGTATCTGCGAGTTGTAAGTGGGGTCCGGTATATGGTTTGTTGACAACTGTCGTTCCATTTTTCGTCCTAATTAGTAAATTCCTTATTACGCTACATTGGTGGCGATGTGGGGAGGGATACCAGATAGAGCATGCACGAAGATAATATAAGGATAGATAGTTCCCTTCAAACCTGAAAATATTCAGGACATCATAACGTTGTACTCAATAATCAAGCGGCTCAGGAGGGACCTACGTACGGCATGATATCATCTATTTCTAGACAGATCCAAAACGTATATAGGAACTCAATGGTGAATCACCCGATGGCAAGCCACTGGCCGTCATTCGCAGCACAGGCTCAGATGGATGATTGCAGACGATTAGCGACAACTTTACGTTGCATTGACAATCCACGTCAGCGTCAATATATTTTAATTAAGTTCTTAGTAACTTCTAAGCGGTAACAGTTAAGCCGCTGGAGGAGGAACAACGTTAGCTTTAAATCGTCTATGATTTAATTCAGATAAACTTTAAGAGAGTCTGTTAGGAGAAACAGCCCCCAATACAAGACTCAAAATGATATTTCGATGAACGGTAAATTTGATTTATACATGTTAAGATCTATGTTGGTGAGTATAACTGGCGATTCCTTTTTTGTTCGTAGTCGAAGGGGACGGTATCAGCTTCGCAGCCTCGCAAATGTTTGCACTAAACATAGGAAACTCAATCGAACCCAGCTGGCCGCTTTTCTCATGTGAGACATTAAGGCTCATAGTGGCAGAAGAAGCCAAGCAACTAGGCTGACGTGACTCGACTCCCCGCTATTTCCTCATAGTTATGCACGTTTCCATATGATGTAGAGCTCACTTGCTACAATTCCGACATGCCGCATCAGCACGCCTTCATGACCACAAGCAGGAATAGTAGTAGCAGCAACAGCAGTCAGTCAAGAAGACAAGAACGCCAAAGACAGTTGATCGGCTAGCGACGTAGATCTGTTAATATTATGCGTCAGACGTCAAAAAAGCAACAGGAATGTTGCGGCCAACGAAGCTTCCAGATCAAACAACGACCGCAGTCAGCAACTGGCGACTATGAAGCAAGCAAAATGAAGAGAAGCGTCCTATCACGCGGGAGAGCTCGACGAAATGGAAGGTACGTTTATATGTGTGCATGACGTCACACTATCTAAACATTTTCAATAGAATTCTTCCACTTGACGATCTGAAGTACAGTTGTTTCAGTAATAGAATGGCGGCTGTTGATCATGCGGACACATTTACCACAGACGCGCAATTACATTGAATTTCTTTTTGGGTTTTATATCGGTAATGATTAAAAGAAGGCCACGGAAAAATTATGATGTAGGTTATGACACACGTTTAGGTTCTATCTTTTTGGTGTTCCACCATAATTGGATTTGTACGACAAGTGACACGCGTCAAATACGAAACTAGTGTCAAATTTATAATTATAGCTATAATAATTAAACGTAAACATAATCTATTAATTTAAAAACATTCATTTTATTTTGTTTAATAAGCTATTATTCAAAGCACTAACATCCAATTACCGACAATCTGTTATTAAGGCTTAGCTGACAAACTCAGCTCATCGTAAAATACAGTTGAATCTACCCATATCTACATCTTTGCTCCAATTACACTTAACTATCTCTACATTGATTATGCTTATTTCTACATTCGTCTACAATATCGATTGTTTGGATAAATAGTAACGGTTGAATCTCCAACAACGACACGTTGACGCCAGTGAATGCCCCTATTTGATCATGATATGGCCAGCTCGAACTCGCATAAACGCTAATAACAAGCTGAATAATTTTTCAAGCAATCCTGCTGCTGCTGCTGCTGCTGATGCTGATGCTGCTGCTGCTGCTGCTGATGCTGATGCTGCTGCTGCTGCTGATGCTGATGCTGCTGCTGCTGCTGCTGTCAATAGTTCGATCCGTACTTGCCATCCTTAGCCGAAAGCATCCGGAGCTAAAAGCACGTGCCTGCATAACGTGTCAACTAGCCAGCCAGCTCACGATTAGTCGGCCACTATTCGACTAAGGCGTGTAATGGAGAAATCACCTTCACAGAATTTCCTACATCTACTTTATCTCTTACCGTTTCAAAAGAATATACTGTGTGCCTGCCAAGTAAATACCTACTAGATAAAGGCTACAAATTCAGCGCTGCGACAAATTTTATTAACACGCATTACTTTACAATGGGTACATATAATAACTACCTTTGCGTATTAACGGTTCAGCGTTCGTTTTACGTTTTCTTGAATTTTCTTAGATTGCTCTTAGATTGTATAGATAGCAGCAGCATCGTACTAATCTAACCGCACTCTTTCTCCCTGCGCTTGCCTAACATCTCGATATTCTAGCATTTTTAATGTTATCAGAGTATGATATGATTGACAGTAATGATTGCGATCCGTATCGCATACAAATGCTGGCCAACGAACGCTATTCATCCAGAAATCTCCATGTAGGATATCACAACCAACGACAACAACAACGCCTTGATACATACATTTATCAGCTTATAAAAGAGAGAGTTTGGAATACGTTAGCCGGCTGGAGTTACCGTCCGTTAGCAATAATCAATCGAAATCGATCGGTAAAAATCGGCTTCAATTGTTACTTGTCGCTGCACGCTCCCCTGGGTTTTGTCGACGAACACAGCAGCAACAACGGGATCCAATCGATTCTGAGATGAATCCAGCTAACGGTTCGACATGGTCAGCCCGATCAGGTTTGACCCGACCAGCAACAACTGCTTACAACGGTCGGAAGGGGGAAATTTGCGACAGCGGCATCTGCCTCGCCGTACTAGGCAGTCTCGGGACCACTCCTAACGCAGGAACCACTCTCATAAATAAGACAACTGTATGAGAATGTGTGAAAACTCGTTGCGTTATTGTGCAATGCTGTTTACACGAAAAATTTTCTCTGTCGTTGGCGCGTCTTTTTGAATAGCCTCGACTCACCATACTAACACTAAATAATCGACTAAACTAAGTGAGCGTTCTAGAATTAAAACGGTAGCTATTTTTGCTCATATTGGCTGCAATAGCCGTTACAGCGTCATGAAGAGTAGTCATGGCGCCGGCTGAAGGATAAAAAGCCTTATTCATTTTGCCATCGCAGCCTACATTTCACATGCTGCGTGTCGATCGAACTGCTAGACTTTTCTTAGATAAGTTAATGTTAACACCATGTGTTCCTTGCTGGCATCGTATGTGTCCTGTGCTATAGATCGAACTTTCATCTATACACTTTTTACATTAAATAAATAGTTTGTGTGGAATGGGCCCAGCGAACATGTGTGCCACATCAGGACAACTAACCTGGTCAGCAAAAGGGCATTATTTACACGAATTCAGCTATAAGTTGCAGTCGGAAAAGGCTGGAAAAAGTAAACTTTGACTTCGTATAGGCG